GGAGATGGCAGAGAAGAGAGAGTGTGTTGGCAGGACGTGAAGGAGAAGATGGATTCGCCTCGCTCGCACCTCCCTGGGTCCCTCCCTACCCCTCTCACTCTCACCTCCTCTGCCCGCTGCCACTTGCTGCCGCCTGGAATGGCCACCACTTCCCCACAATGCCCTCCGTCCCTCCCCCTTGTGACAACCCCTCTCACCTATTCCTCCCACTCGCCACCCCCATCCGCCTCTGCCACCCCGCCTCCCCTGCCAGCAGCGACAGCCCCTCCCACAGCCTCGTACCAACCCTCTTTTTGCTTCCACACCCACTCATCCCCCGCACCACCCGCAATCCCACGCACCACCCCCCATCCCACGCACCACCTACCATCCCCACGGACAACTCACCTCCCCATCAAGAAACAGTGCGAAGCGGGCGGCATGGAGGGAAGGTGGTCCCTGGAATGGGAGATGGCTTTTCCCGCGCTCTGCTGCACCCATGGGCAACGCACATGGGCGGCGGGGTCAGGACACGGGCGGCGGGGTCAGGACACGGGCGGCGGGGTCGTGACATGGGTTGGCACATGGGTGGCAGAAAGACAAGAGGAAGGGGGCGGGAGAGAGGGTGAGGAGATGGGTGAGGGAGGAAGTACCGTAAGAGAAAAAAATGTGGGAGGAAGTGGGGGGGGGGGTCCGCTGGGGAAGGATAAGGGTTGGTCAAAAGCAGGTCGGCGAGAGAGGAGGTGGGTGAGAGAGAAGGGATCGTTGCGAGAGAGAGAGAGAGAGTGAGGAGGGCCCAGAGGATGGGGGGAAGAGAAGGATGGGGGAAAGATGGGACGAAAACGAGTGGAAAGATAGGGTTAGGCTTGGGACGTTGAGGGTTGTGTGATTGGGAAATCAGGCACGACCGTGACGGTACGGGCATGGCGCACATGCGTGAATGTGTGAAGTGCGAGATGAGCATGCGAGTGAGGTGGTGCATGTGCGCATGCATGCGTGCGCCACAAAGAACCACCTCACCTGCGCCGTTAGCATCTTAAGCACCAAGAGGCATGGCGCCCACTGATGTGGCGCCGCCTGCTGTAGCGACTGTGGAGGCGGCGGTGGCTTTGGTGTGACGTCAAGCAGCGATGACGTGGCGATGGCATCATGGCGCGGATGAGCACACGCAGCACGATGCCCACCAGCTCATGCCTGCCATGCCCCGGGAGGGGGGAGATGAGGGAGGGGTGGGGACAGACGGGAGAGGGGGGAGACGAGGGGAGAGTGGGGTCTAAGATACGTGAGGGTTGACCATGCAACGGCCAAGTGATACGGGGGAGAGCACGAGCGGGAGGACATGAGGCCCAGGCAATGTGGGCGGAAGGCGGGAGGGAGGTGCGAGAGGTGGGCAGTGCGAGCCGCGATCAAGTGGCAGCTGGCAGAGCAGAAACGTATTTTTTCTTAAACGCGCCCTTAAGATTATGGGCTAGAGGGATCAGGAAGGGGTGAAGTGATAGCCAATCATAGCGCGCATCGGCTTCCATTCGCCACCACCAGCCAATCAGAACAGAAGCAGAGACAGCGAGACCCAAGAGAAGAGAAAGGAGAGCGTGAGAGGGAGAGATTGAACGAAAAAAACCTTATCGTTCTCTCCCCGCTGCACTCCTCCCCCCTCCCCTGAACCCCTCTGCCTGCTGCGCTTTGCTGATTGGACAGGGAGCAGCGGGGAAGACCCATGCATGCTTCAGAGAGCACCGAACTTTCATCATCTTCCACTTGCGCCCAATCCTCAGAATACTTAAGAGTTATGGCGAACGCACCTGGAAATGCACCAGTTTCTGTTGAAGTAAAGGAGTGGAAGGACGTGGAGAACAGCGGAGATTATAAAACAACGAACTGCTTAGAAGTCAAAAAAAATGGAATGAGAGAAAAACAGCAGTCGAGGCTGCTGGCATACAAAGCGCGCGAAAGAGAGAGGGATCGGAAGAGGGTGTTAAAATCAGAGCACACGCGGATTGTCTGCCCGCCATCAGCCAATCAATCACAGGATACCCCACCCCTACAGGTAGAGTGCACTGCGAAAGAGTTTCCCCATGTGGGAACGGCCGGGAGGCACGAGAAAAGCACACGGCTGGGTCAGACCTTTTACTTTACCATCACCTCCCCCTCATAACGAGTCTTGCCTCAGCGAAATAGGCCAAAGTAAGCGTAAGCCTTGCCTCGTTGTAGGTACATACCCCATATGAACATGCATGCATCCATTTACAAACACATTCTAATGAAGCACCCTGTATATCCAAGCTCAGCACGTATACTCAGTGCAACAAAATGAACAATAAGTAGACCAGAAAAGACACGTTCCATGAAAGCACACGCGGAAAATGATCAAGTGGTGCGATGTGACGCCACGGCACGCGTTGACTTTTGAGTCGACTCAAAAGTCATCGAGTGGTGCAATGTGACGCGACGGCACGCGTGGAAAAAAGACGCCGCAGGAGAGGCGGCGGGGTCACGGGAGAGGGCGGCAAGGCGACGAGTTTGTCAGCGAGGTGCGTTGAACAAGGGGTAGAGCAGTTGACGCGTGAGACACGCCGGTCGGTATCACGGCACCTAACATACCTCTCGACCAATCCACGTGTCAGTCGGTAAGTGGCGCAGCAGCAGAGGGCGTGCAGAGCGCGCCGAGTGGAGCAGCGGCGCGGTGCAGCTGACACTCCGCCACTCCGCACGTCGCTCCAACCCTCACCGCTCCTGCCGCTAACGGCCTCCCCGCCATGCGTTCGCCCCCGCGACTCACACTCAACGTCGCTGCCACAGAGTCGGCGCGCAGTGAAACTTGGAACTCTACAATGACTAGAATCTGCACTGGATGAATTCTTCGTTCTTATGACATAGAAATATGGAAACAAGCTAGTAACAAGCTCGCGTTTGCTTCAAAGAAACCGCCGTTTGCCTGTCTATAAGGCAGACCGTCGTAGCAGCAGCGATTTCCGTCCAATATTCATTCTGCCATCAGCTATGCCTGCCGGAAGGTTGCTTGCCATGTCTGCTCTACTGAAAGCCGAACTTGAATTTGCAAGAAACGAGGAAGTCTTGGCAGGGCGACGGTTGTTTTGGTGGAGTCGGTTTATGAGGTTTCATACGGTTTGGTACGCTTGTATTCGATACGACACGGTTAAAGTGTTTTGATGATTGAAATCTGAAGCCCACCATCTTTCCCGTACATCCAAATAGACCGATTTGCTACGCACAGAACCTCACCGGACCGTTATTTTATCCTGTACAATCGACTTGAGAAAATTGCGTTGAGCATACGTCACAGAAAGTCATGTGGTTGTTTGGCAGAGTGACGACGATGTGACGAATCGTCGCGCACACCACGCGACACACGCATCGCCACCTGTCCACTGAAGTTCACTAAGCAAATCGTCGCGCACAATTTCGCAAACAGCCTACCCAATCGCACAATTTCTGACTTTTTTTAGTCCACACCGATTGGTCGATCTCGGATTGCGGGGATTTGGAATTACAGTTTGGGAGATTTCAAGCATCACGGATTGGGAAACCAAGCGGTGCGTGGGTGACGAGGAGTCAGCGTCCAATCACAGTTGCGCCCGAACAATGCCTCCCGCTTCCCAAACTTGTTGCTCCCCAGTTCATAACTGGCATCAGTCAGTCACAGCAAGCAGCAGCACTCGTTTTCTTGTCATCCAGGAATTTCTAATCGCAGCGTCTGTTTCACATATTCAAACATCCATAATGGCTGCCCTCGCCAACGCTGCTGTGCTCCCCTCCACCTTCGTCGGCCAGAGCGCTGAGCTCGCCGCCAAGGTGAACAATGTCGAGGCCCGCGTGACGATGAGGAAGACCGCCAAGGCGGCTTCCAGCAGCGCCTTCTACGGCCCCGACCGCAACCTGTTCCTGGGCCCCTTCAGCTCCCCCCCGTCGTACCTCACCGGCGAGTACCCCGGCGACTACGGCTGGGACACCGCCGGTCTGTCCGCTGACCCCGAGACCTTCGCCAAGAACCGCGAGCTGGAGGTAAGCCGACCGGAATCTCTAGCAACACATATGACACGCATTCCTCACGAATGAACATTCATCGCTCATAGAACCATGCACATTCGACATTTCACTTATTTTATCAGCAAGCTAACTATTCCACGCTTCTCACCGAAAATACTCGCTGTTCTTTCGCCTCCTTATCAATTTTCAGGTCATCCACGCTCGCTGGGCTCTGCTCGGCGCGCTCGGCTGCCTGACCCCCGAGCTGCTGGCCGGCAACGGCGTGAACTTCGGCGAGGCCGTGTGGTTCAAGGCCGGCGCGCAGATCTTCTCCGAGGGTGGCCTTGACTACCTGGGCAACCCCAGCCTGATCCACGCGCAGTCCATCCTGGCCATCTGGGCCACCCAGGTCATCCTCATGGGAGCCGTCGAGAGCTACCGCGTGGGTGGCCTTGAGGGCTTCCAAGAGGTTGAGGACCCCCTGTACCCCGGCGGTGCCTTCGACCCCCTGGGCCTGGCTGACGATCCCGATGCTCTCGCGGAGCTGAAGGTGAAGGAGCTGAAGAATGGCCGCCTCGCCATGGTGTCGATGTTCGGCTTCTTCGTGCAGGCCATCGTCACCGGCAAGGGCCCCCTGGAGAACCTGAACGACCACCTGGCTGACCCCACCGTCAACAACGCGTGGGCCTATGCCACCAACTTCACCCCCGGTGCTTAAATATCAAACTAAGCCTGTACATTTCTTATTTATAGTTTTATATTTCAATCTTATCCTCTTTGTGTTCATAGAGCCAATGAGATAGCACTTGGAAAGACTACCGTAGTTAGATACCACTCCAGCACCCTTTTCTTGGGTGGTAGTACTTGGTAAAGACGCTTACAGGTGGAAAATTCCAAAACAGACATCTCATATATCCGTTGTTAGCAGCAATTATGCACACACAGATCTTTCTGCCTATTTACACGCGCGCGGGACATCACTCTAACTGCCGGTTGTGACTGCCGCCAAGAATACTCCTCCCATGTTAGCTTCTCTATGCGAAGAAAAGCAGAGCGGCGAACAGGGACATGAGGCCAGTGGCAGCTCGGGCAGGTGATGCAAGGAAACCTGCTATCCGCAGAAGGAGGTTTGAAAGGGGGAGAGCGGGGACAGTGGGGAAGTTAGCGGAATAAGTTTACTTGGTCGTTACAGATTTAATCTTGAATATATTCGCGTTGTCTTCTTTTTCCAGTTCTGCCTACCAACCTTAGTAGACGACGTTGCCTACCAGCGGGCTTGGGTGGTGGCGGCGACAATCCCTGGGGATTCACGGAGACAGTTCCGTCGGGATTCACAGTCACGCCTGGAGTCTGCACACCGCCGGTTCCAATAGTCACGCCGCCGGGAATCGTAACGCCGGTACCGGGGTTAACAATCGTTCCGTCAGAGTTCGTTATCGTTCCGTTAGGGTAAACGGTGATGCCGCCGGCTGTCGTTGATCCGTCAGGGTTAACAGTCGGCGTGATTGGCTGCCCGTCGCGTCCCAGTATTGTGCCGTTCGACAAAATCGTCGTCCCGCCAACTGTCACGCTGCCTGGATTCGTGGTAGAAACTCCCCCCGAGCCAATGATTATTCCGGGGATTGAAATCTGAGCATCCGCTGGTCAAATCATCGGCAAGAACGATACTGCTATGAGTAACAACACCGTGAGGAAGACGGTTCGAGAAGCCATTCGGAGCTGTAAACGGGTTGCACTATGACGAGCGGCTTTCTGCAATGAATTGAATCAAACAAGGCTCAAGTCTTCATATCATCCGCACGCTTGTTGAAACGGGCAGCATAGTCTCGAAACGAGAGAGACACAATCAGGTGCTGCGTGGTTGGGAGAAGTGCTTTGCGGTGTTCTCCGGCGCCTCGGCAAATCCCCAGGGGCGGCTTGGTTGGTTTGGGGGGGCAGGACGCAAACCAGACCGAGTATCTTCGTACTCTGCTTGCGTGACTAATCACGGCGTCCCGCAACTTCCATGGCGCTATTTACGTCCTTCTTGAATGACGATTGGTGGTGGGAAGGACTGCGTGGTGTGGTGGTTAGCTCAGTCAGGAGCTGCTTCATTCCATACCGAAAGTTCCGGGATTGTCTCGAAACGCTTGTTGTACTCTGAAATCAAGAACGCGATATTGCAACGAGCTACACTAGCGCAGCGCTTTGTGTATCCAACAAAGAAGGCAGGCTCAGTATGCCTCCTCAAGGATAACAAAAATCACAACAGCTAGCACTGTAATTGAAGTTAGGTATGGGGATTACACACTGCATGTTGATCATTCCAAGATGTCTGTTGTTCATGTGTGCTGAGCCATTGTGGTGTAGACTTTTGGTTTACATCCCTTTCTGTCTTTGCTTTACGCAAAGAGCACAGCGGCAAGCAGGGAGATGACCCCAGTCACTATGCGGGCGGGCGTTGCAATGAAGCCTGCCAAACGGAAACGGAAACGACGGCATAAAAAACGTGGTCAGTTCTCAAAACTCCAATTCCGCCTCCTTCCTTGCCCATTCCACCCATTCCGAAAAGAAGGGTTCTGAGCATCAGCTTTAAACTTCCAAAAAAATGGGGGGGGGGGGCTTCTCACCAGCAGGCTTGGGTGGAGGAGGAGCTGGAGGTGGCGTGATGGGAGTTGGCGTGATGGTACCGTTAGGGTTCATGGTAAAGCCTGGGACCTGGATATTTCCACCGGAAGTATTAAACCCAGGGATCGCCGGCAACCCGCCAGGAATTGGTTTCCCATCAGCGCCGATGATCGTCCCATTGGGATAGATTGTGTTCCCGTCGAGCGATGTTGATCCGTCAGGATTTATGGTTGGAACTGGTGGGTTGACTACTTGGCCGTCGCTCGTGACATACGTGCCGTTTGGATATATCTTGGTGGTACCAACAGTCACACTCCCGTCAGGGTTGGTAGTGACATTCGGGCTAAAAGTACCGCCTGGAGTTTCTATCGTGCCGTTGGTGATGTTGACAACGCCGGGAATCGAAATCTGTGCGTTCGCTGGCTGAATAGCTGGTGTGAAAGCCACCGCGAGGAGTACCAGCGCCGAAAGGAAGAGCACACGGGGAGCCATGAGAGCTGTTATTGGGTCATGAAGTTAGTTGGGTTATGAGAGCTACTAAACTGGCAGACCTATTTCAGCAGAGCAGCTTCGCGCGTTCTTGGCCGGTCGGAAATATTGGACGTCGGCTTGAATGTTTTGGCTTGGGCCGTCGAAGTGCCAGTGCCGAAGCTCCTGCCACGAAGCTCCGACATACTATCTTGAAGCCCCTGTGGGGCACCGTCTTGCACCTCGGATAATCAATCATATTCGTGTGTTGACAGATTGCTTATATACAAGCCGACTGCCAGGTCTGGACTCTGGTTTGGAGGCAACAGAGGCTCGGGCTGGCTAGGTACGGTGTGAAGATTTCCGGAATTGGCTCGAAAGCTAATCTGAAATCAAGAACCCGATATTGTCTTCACCATTAAGCGTACCATTTGGTGAACTACAGAAAGCTTGATATCCGGCAACGATAGCACAATATGGACCATATGATATTAACTTCAGTTCAGAGGATTACACACCGCATGCTAATATTTTCCGAGTCCTGCAGCTCAGGTCTGTTGAGTTGTAATCAGTGAAAATTTCAAGATATGTTAGGGGTCTTGCTTGTTCATGCAAAGAAGAGCATAGTGGCGAGCAATGAGATGAACCCAGTCACCAGGCGAGCAGGTGTTGCAATGAAACCTGTCACAACATAAAAAGGGAAAAGATTAGCTGAAGAACACACCCAACTCTACGCAGTAACTTCCTCTTCCTCCCCTCCATTCACCTCTCTCTCTCCTTTCCCCCTCTTTCCCCTTTCCGCGATGCTTAAAAAAAAACATCAACAAGCGAAGAAAACAGGGTTTGGTGCACTTCTGTAAAACAACAAATGCAAGCAACTTCTCACCAGCAGGCTTGGGTGGAGGAGGGGGAGGGGGACTTGGCGTGAAGCCTGGGATCTGGATCCCTCCGCCGGAGATGTTGAACCCAGGGATCGGCAACCCGCCAGGAGTAACAGGCTTCCCATCAGAGCCAATGACTGTCCCATTGGAAAAGAAGTTTAAGCCGCCAATCGTTACAGATCCGTCAGGGTTTTTGGATGGAATGGGTGGGTTGACTACTTGACCGTCGCTGGTGACATACGTGCCGTTGGGATAAATCTTGGTGTTACCAATGGTCACACTCCCGTCAGGGTTGGTAGTGACGCCGCCGGAACTACCATTGAAGGAGGGGATACCTGGGATCGACACATTCGGCATGCCTGGGATCGACACATTCGGCATGCCTGGGATCGACACATTTGGCATGCCTGGGATCGACACATTTGGCATGCCTGGGATCGACACATTTGGCATGCCTGGGATCGACACATTTGGCATGCCTGGCATCGACACATTCGGCATGCCTGGCATCTGGATCCCCCCGCCGGAGTTGTTGAACCCAGGGATCGGCAACCCGCCAGTGTTGACAACTTTCCCATCAGAGCCGACGATTGTCCCGTTGGGATAGAAGGTGGTCCCGCCAAGCGAATAAGATCCGTCAGGGTTTGTGGTTGGAACTGGTGAGTTGACTACTTGGCCGTCGCCGGTAACATACGAGCCGTTTGGATAGAACGTGGTGGTACCAATGGTCACACCCCCGTCAGGGGTGGTAGTGATGCCGCCAGCGCCGCTACCGCCGCCAATGCTCGTGCCATTCGGGCCAATAGTAGTACCGCCTGGAAGTGTTATCGTGCCGTTGCCAACGGTGACGTCGCCAATGCCAGGAATCGAAATCTGTGCGTTCGCTGGCTGAATAGCTGGTGAGAAAGCCACGGCAAGGAGGACCAGCGCCGAAAGGAGGAGCACACGAGGAGCCATTAGAGCTGTTGCTTCCAGTTACTTGGGGACAGGGAACTACTGAAGTGGCAGAGGTATTTGAAGTGTTCTTGGCTGGTCGGAAATTGAAGCATGCCCTTGAACGTTCTGGAAAAATGGGGAGGGGTGGGAGTCGAAACTCCGGCACCGAAGTTCCGACGTCGAAGCTCTTGCCTGGCCTCAACGAACCAGACCCCAAGCCGCGTTGGGCACCACCTAGTACGTCGGGTACATAAAAAAACATTTTGTGTGTTGACCGATTACTTTTCTACACTCCACCCTGTGTGTTTCTAGCTAGCGAGCAAATTCAGGGTGTCTTTACCTCGTCGAAATTTGCTGACATCACGAACATATCGAAACTAATTGACAAAATCAATTTCGGCAGAGCCATGTGCCGGAAAGTTGTCTCTACGGAAAACAAGTTTGAAGTTCTGGCAGACTCGGCACCGAACCCCGTTGTCTGAGCAGAAACCTGCTCCAGAGCCAGGCACCAGACCAATCGAAGGCTACCGTAGCTGTCTGGTGACTGGCTCGATCGTCTTCTATTGGTGACAAGAAGATTCTGTAATCGTATGGGTGAGTGAGCGGTTTCAGTTTGGTACAAGGGCAATAATTGTCTTACGGTAGGCACCGCTAATACCCGTTATGAGTAGGAAACCGAGTGCACAACAGAGGTACGGGCTAATGAACTGAGAGTAATTGAAGGCCCAATAAAATGATGGGGATGAGCCTTAGATACGTTTGGGGCAGTGCCAAATTAGGTAATGTACATATAAGATTGTTGGGTGTCAGGTATGTGGCACAAGGTAGCATCGGTAGGCTCTCTTCAGGTACAGTTTACACCATACTCATACCGTAAGTGCTGAGATTACTGCTCCACGTTTCGCTGCTATTAGCCCCTCTAGCTCCTCTTGCCATTTCTCCACATCCCACTCTCAGTGCAGCACACCTGCAGTTTCAACAAATAATATCATATACTGTCAATCTCTGACACTCTCAATCAGTTGGCGACTCCACAACAAGCTCTGCAGTGGCATCTGCTACTCGTAGCAATCCCTGAAGATACGGAAACACTCCAGCCGCATCCCTCCACGCCCTCCCTCCTGCCCCTGCTGCCCCTCCCCCTCCAGAACCACTCCCACAGACGCTGCCACTCCCGCCGCTGCTCTTGATCCTCCTCACATGCTCCTTCACCTGTGCTATCACCGCTTCCCTGTGCCCGTCACGGCAGGAGTATGAAACCACCTCCGAAGCTGGCTGGGTCATCAGAAGCAGATCCATCTCAGCACTATCCATCCCAGAAACATCCCTCACCCCCGTGTCATTAACACGTGTCCCACTAGGACCACTCTTTGAAACCTCCTCGTCTGCTGTATCCATAGAGTCCTTTCCACCTCCAGTCAACTTGTTGCAGGCCTTATCCCATCCCTGTGGGCGAGTAACCCCATTCTGCCTCTCATGCTGCTCTCTGCTCCCATCGTGCACCTTACCTGTGAGCACCGCTCCCAACCCAGCTCCAAACCCCGTCCCCACGCCCATCCCATTCCTTCCCCGGACCTGATGCGACAGCACAAGCGCCTGCCCCTTAATCTGAGAAAGCGGAACCTTCCGAGAAGTTCCCTTGGCTGGGTCAACAGACGCTGTTGCCACGACACCCCTGTGACTCCCCTGGCTACTGCTGTGGAAGCTCCTGCCATTTTCGGGGTAAAGAGTGGAAAGCGCCCTCTCTCCGCGCATCCCCGAGGTGGAGGTGATAAGAGTCTCAATGGCAGACGCCAAATCCCCCTCATTGCCGGATTCATCGGCAGCACCCATCGCATCTCCCTCTGCTCCATCCCCCCCTGCTCCATTGCCCTCTCCTCCATCCCCCCCCACTGCATCAACCCCTACTTTACCTTCAGCACTGTTACAAAGATTGCCCTGCCCCACGTCCTCATCCCTCTGCCTCGATTCTCCACTTCGCTTCCTACGCCCCCCTCTCCCAGTGCCATCCTCCTCACCAACCACAGCAGAAGCAGCGGCGGCAGTAGAAGTAGCGGGGGCGTCAACAGAAGTGTATACGCCAGGGGCGGACGCACAGGCAGCAGGAGCAACGGGATGGGCTGGGTCGACGAATCGACTCTCTTCCGCACCCACCACCTCACCATCCCCCACCGCCCTCCTAGCTCCTCTCTCTTCTCCAAAGGCTCTCTTTTCCTCCATCTGCCTTGCTCTCTTCCTCATGTTCCCCTCGTTTTCCTCATTCCCCTCATTCGCCTCATTCTCCTCTCTCTCCTCATTCTCCCGATTCTTTTGATTCCTCTCCTGCGCACCCCCGTCATTCCTGTCGCTTACCATAACCCCATTATCTCCTTTCCACTCACGCACTGCCCCATCACCCCTATCACTGTCTCTGGTAACCCCATTACGCCCTGCCAGCCACTCATTTAGCCCTCTTTTCGCCATCCACTCCATTTGATCCGGCTCCTTCCATCCCTTTCCTTCATCCGCCACTGTCGTGACTGCTTTCACAGCATCTCTTACCTCTCCTACCCTTGCTACCCCTGAGTCTTCCCATCGTGCCCCTGCAACGTTCCCTGCTGCCGGCACCCCTGTGAACTCCCCTCCACGTGAGAGTTCACCAGTCCCCGCGCCGTCCCCTCGCCCCAGAAACTCCAACTTCCCCCAAATCTTTCCCTCAGCCTTCCGCTCACCCGCAGCCTCTCCCTCCCCCGCAGCCTCTGTACTCCCCGCGGCTCCTTCCCTCCCCCCGGCTTCTCCCCTCCCCGCGGCTTCTCCCCTCCCCGCGGCTTCTCCCCTCCCCGCGGCTTCTCCCCTCCCCGCGGCTTCTCCCCTCCCCGCGGCTTCTCCCCTCCTCGCGGCTTCTCCCCTCCCCGCGGCTTCCCCCCTCCCCGCGGCTTCTCCCCTCCCCGCGGCTTCTCCCCTCCCCGCGGCTTCTCCCCTCCCCGCGGCTTCTCCCCTCCCCGCGGCTTCTCCCCTCCCAGCGGCTTCTCCCCGCCCTGCGGCCTCTCCCGTTGCCGAAGCCTCCCCTGTCCCCGCAGCCTCTCCCCTCCGTACAACTTGCACACCCCCCTGGGTGACGGGAAACCGCCCCCCCTCCAGCTGGCTCAGACTCAGCGGCGGAGGGTGAAACGGTCCAGTTGGCACGATCCCATTGGCTCGCACGCACGCGTGCAGCCACTCCTCGGTAACCACCGCCACGTTACCCCACTGCATCGCGCGCTCGTACTTTTCTCCGGAAGCCGCCGAGCAGACGAGATGCGAGATCCGACGGTCCAGTTTCTCCGTCGGGTTTGCCCCGAGCGCGACGCAGAGACAGAGGATGTTAGTGCGCCGCGTGCCGCCGTAAAGCGAGACGCAGAATTGGTAGGATTGGATTCCCGGGAGGGGGATCGTGCAGGGGAGGGGACGGAGAACGAGATGGGAGGAAGGGTCGATTAAGCGATTCTCTTGATGCGACCTGTACACCCAATGCGCCGAGACGACGCGATGCGACGGATGCGATAATGAGTGTGATTGGTCCGCGCTGCCGTGGGCTTTCACGATTATTGGCGACGCGTGGCGTGACGCGTCGCTGATGACCGTGCCGCCTCCCGCCATGATGACTCGATATAAGCGGTCTCGAATGTCGGAGGAGAGGGTTGGGCTGAGGAGGAACACCTCATTCTGGAAGACTGACGAAAACGCCATGCGAGTCGGGACGGGGATTCCGGCTCGTCGAAGCGACGACGTGATAACCTGGCTCATACTACTGGCGAAAGCGAGGACTCATCAACCAACAGCCACGGCGACGAGAGTTTATCGCTTGTGTTGGGGGAATGGAGATGAAAGAAACGCCGGGGTTTTGTCGCCTACGGACACGGAGCTCAACCAGCCAGAAGTCGATGGTAGGACGTGGATGCCTGGGCGTGAGCTGCCTGCTACTAGTCACCTAGATTGAATTTGTGGAGTGAACGGATGATAACTTCAAGGCTAGGAGCCTAGATTCTGGAAGGGAGGAAAGGAGATGGGCCATATGGGAAACCCGAAGTAGGGATCTACCTAGGGAGTATGGTGGCTGAAAATCCCGATTCAATCATATGCTGAAACAGTGCGAAACTCCTGAGAATGTTACAATTTCCATCTTCGCGACATGTTCGTTCAGTGTTTTGACGACGGTTTTGCGACGTGGATGTTGTTGACTGACTCGCTGAGTTACCTCATTCACTGTGCTCTGACAAGCCAGTGGGGTGTAGTTGTTTTACCGCGCCCGCAGCTTCTCCCAAACCAAGTTTCCAGGCCTGGACCCGGTTCGACGCGTCGCTGGGGGTTCGAATGAAGAGTCGCTGTCGGTGGCTGGTACACCACAACTGGTTCGGCATTCAAAATCACGGAACGCTTGTTTAGCAATATCTAGGTGAAGAATGTTTGATTTCGTTTTAAATCGGTTCTCAAAGTTATGGTGGAGTATTGTGTGTCTTTGCTTTGCACGTCTCCAATCATTTCTGGGTTGTGCCTTGGTTCTCGCTTCCTCCTTTCATGATAGCTTCCGTTTTGCACGGAAACCAAGTTATGACAGTAGTGTGGATCTATGCATAAAGCACGTCATTACCAAATGAGAAGCCCCAGGCGTTACCCTCGCGTTGTAGTTAGGTCATATCAGGCCGACTCGACTCAGTCACTCAACACAGCAGACAGTGGTAGGATGCAACGGTAGTGTTTTGCAGGCTATAAATTCGACTTAGTGTCGCTTGCTCGTATCTATCAGTGTTCACGGCGAGGTATGCGTCGTACTGCGGAGATCGTTTCCGATCAACGGCAACAAGCGCAATAGCACAGCAGATCAGCTCAGCATTACACTGCACTGCACAGTAGCCCACAATAGCACACAGAATCGCACAGCAGCCCATAGCACCGCACAGAAGTCATCATGGCTGCGCAGGACTCCGCGAGGCCGCACAAGAGCAGGCGAGTGCTGATTGTGGCGTGGGCCGTCATTTCCACGCTCCTCAACTTTATCCTCCTGCTTCAAACACGCGACCCCGATACAAGCACTGGCAGTTCCGTCAACAGCGAATCGAGCCTGCAAGGTACTGTGCGTCGCAACGTTTGTCGCGCTGCATGAGGTTTGTCGTGCCGCTAGCTGTCCTGCTCTGCGTGGATTTGTGCATGAGATGTTGCCGAATCTGATTCGCGCAGGTCTTTTTAAACAAGGTGCTCCGTATCAGCCGTCGCATGCTCGTCACCTCGTTCCTCTCCCTCGGCTTCCTCACCTCCTCTTCTCCCTCTCCGCTGCCTCTTAAGTCGACTCAAATCTTTCTCGTTTCCCGCTTTCTCCCCAAACCCTTCCTTCCCCACTACTCCTCCCTCCCTTTCCCACTCCCCCCCTTCCCCCCCCTCCCCTTCCACCCCCCGCCCCGCCAACCTCCCCCCAGCTGCTCAACTCCCCCTTGTATCCGCGCGGCCCCACCCTTTAAAACCATCCGCTGCTTTTTTCGACAACTCAAAGCTCTCTCTTCCCCCGCATCCTTCCAACACCCCCCTCCCCCGCCCCGCTGCTCAATTCCCCCCTCTATCCGCGCGGCCCCGTCCAAGCGCCGGCGGAAGCAGCCTGCTGGCACCGCCAGCGGTACCCCGCCTCGCTCAGAGAGGCGGTGGAGGGGCGCACGGACCCATGGGCGCTCATGAAGGTATGAGAGAGGCAGTAATGAGGGTTTAAGGCTATCATGAGAGTGACTGTGAGTGAGGCTGCATTGAAGGTGCTAGTGCTTCCCCGCCTCGCTCAGAGAGGCGGTGGAGGGGCGCACGGACCCGTGGGCGCTCATGAAGGTGTGAGAGAGGGTGATGGGGGTGATGGGTGTGATGGGGGTGATGGGGGTGATGGGGGTGATGGGGGTGATGGGGGTGATGGGGGTGGAGATGAGGCCCGCGGAAGCGGCCTGCTGGCACCGCCAGCGCTACCATGACTCGCTCAGGGAGGCAGTGGAGGGACGCACGGACCCGTGGGCGCTCATGAAGGTGAGGGGGCTTGCGTGGTGTGTAATGTGAGTGACTGTGAGGGTAGAATGAAGGTGCTAGCGCTTCCCTGCCTCACTGAGGGAGGCGGTGGAGGGGCTCACCGATCCCTGGGTGCTCATGAAGGTGAGGCAGATGTTGTGTGAGGGCGGGCTATAACGAGGATAAGTGTGGTACTAAAGAGAAGGTGCCCGCGCTACCCCGCGCCAGAGAGGCGGTGGAGAGGCGCACGGACCTGTGGGTGCTGATGAAGGTGAGAGAGAGGGGTGATGGGGGCGACCGTGAGGGTAGTTGTAAGGTGTGAATGATGCTCGAGTTGAATCAAGGTGCCAGCGCTACCCCGCCTCGCTCAAGGAAGCAATGAAGGGGCGCACAGACCCGTGGCCGCTCATGAAGGTGCGGAAGAGTGTGGTGATGGGGGTGAGGGGGCGGTGATGGGGGTGAGGGGGCGGTGATGGGGGTGATTGTGTTGTGAGGGTGTACGTATGGTGCTAATAAGCTGCGTAGAGAGCAGCGCAGCTCATTTTGCCCCTCCTCCCTTCTCCCCTGTGCACCCCTCTCTGTGCACCCCTCTCTGTGCACCCCTCTCTGTGCACCCCTCTCTGTGCACCTTTCCAGGCCATACCACCCCCATCACCATGCACAGTAGCAGGTCTACAGATAGAACAGCTCGAGCCGCACCTCAACTTGACCTCTCCTTTTCCCCGATGCACCCCCCTGTACCCATTTCAGGCCATACCACCCCCCTCGCCATGCACGGTAGCAGGGTTACAGATAAAGCAGCTAGAGCCGCACCTTAACTTGTTACTCCTTCGTTCTCCCATGTGCACGCGCTCCCCTGTACTCTTCCAGGCCATACCACCCCCCTCACCATGCGCGGTAGCAGGGTTACGGATAGAGCAGCTGGAACATCATCTCAACTTCCCTCTCCTTCTCCCCTGTGCATGCACTCCCCTGTAACCTTCCCAGGCCATCCCTCCCCCCTCGCCATGCACAGTAGCAGGGTTACAGATAGAGCAGCTGGAGCCGCACGTCAACTTCCGGCGGGGCTATGCGGTGAAGCACACAGGGGACGCAGAGGACCGCGTGCATGTGCAGAGGACCGCGTGCATGTGCAGAGGACCGCGTGCATGTGCAGAGGACCGCGTGCATGTGCAGAGGACCGCGTGCATGTGCAGAGGACCGCGTGCATGTGCAGAGGACCGCGTGCATGTGCAGAGGACCGCGTGCATGTGCAGAGGACCGCGTGCATGTGCAGAGGACCGCGTGCATGTGCAGAGGACCGCGTGCATGTGCAGAGGACCGCGTGCATGTGCTGCCGTACTGCAGGGCTCTGCAACACCCGGTCATGGGGAGACGGTGAGGGACTGGAATGCATGGGCTTACAAGCGATGCTGGGAGTGGTTGGGGCTATGCTGTGAGGCATGTGGGGGATGCAGAGGGCCGCCTGCACGTGCTGCCGTATTTCAAAGGACCGCAAGACCCGCCATGGGGAGACGTTGGGAGAGAGAGAGAGCAGGAGTACCCCTCCACGGGGGTGATGGCCTACCTGCGGCAGTGCGCGGAGCTGGCGGCCAAGCTGCGTTTCAATGCAGCACCTACCTCAAACGAGGCCGCTAAACTACTGACGGAGTACCGCCAGCGCTGGAGCGTTTGCCTCCAACGAGCGCAGGCCAATGCCGTCCACTCCAAGACCAACGAGGCCTTGGCAGCGGACGAGCTCGGCATGCAGGGAGGGACCCATTGCCCCTCTGAGCGAGGGGCAGCTGCACCAGTTGATCGAGCCCCCGTTCGACCAGTAGGGACGGACAGAGGGGGGCGGGGGTGGGTTGGAGACAGTGTGGTAGTTAGGTTACCGGTTTTGTTTGCTGGTCTTTGCTTGTGTTTGCTTCTACCTTTGTAACACCTCATGATTAATGCAAGGACCATTCGAGCAGGAGTAACGAATGAGCAGGGCCTTGTCCCTATAGAGTAACAAATGTATCTGGAGGGACAAGGCCCTGCTCATTCGTTACTCCTGCTCGAATGGGCGGCAACGAGCTCAACTCTTAGTGCGATGTGGTTTTGATGCACTGCCGGCCGTTCCCTCCCCTCTCATATACCCTTGCCCTTTCAGACGGCGTCGCGTGTATCTGGATCTGGGTGGAAAGGAGTTCAACTCGAGCGTGCTGTGGATGCTCAGACACTACCCCTTGGATTTCACGGAGGTGCATGTCTTTGAGGTCAAGAAGGGGCTGTTCCTGCTGCCGCCGAGGCAGACACAGAACGACGAGGTGGGTGGAATGCGGTTGGAAGTGGTTGACATGCAGCAGTGGATTTCACAGAGGTGCATGCGCTCCTCTCCTCTCCTCGCCTCCCCCGGAAATTCAATCAAGAAAGAGCCTCGAGAAGGTGTCAGTGTTTTGGCATGGGAACAAACCGTCGTTACTCCGTTCTGCTTTCCTTCTCCTCCCCTGTTTTCTCTTCTCTTCCCCCCTCCCCTCTTTCATTAACCTCTCAGGCCCAATACCCTGAGATTCAGCCAAGAAAGCGCCTCGAGAAGGTGTCGGTGTTCTGGCGGGGGGATGAGCCTCCTCCAGTTCCAAACTGGATGGCGGACAGAATCCATATTTATAACGACTTTGTTGACAACACGGATTACCATGTGAGTGGTATCACGAGTCTGCTTATAACGAGTACGTGTGGAGGATATAGAGCCCCCCACCCCCGTGCCCAACTGGATGGCGGGCAGAACCATAATGACTTTGTGGACAATTCGGATCACCATGTGAGTGGTATCACGAGTCTGCTTATAACGAGTACGTGTGGAGGATATAGAGCCCCCCACCCCCGTGCCCAACTGGATGGCGGGCAGAACCATAATGACTTTGTGGACAATTCGGATCACCATGTGAGTGGTATCACGAGTCTGCTTATAACGAGTACGTGTGGAGGATATAGAGCCCCCCACCTCCGTGCCCAACTGGATGGCGGGCAGAACTATAATGACTTTGTGGACAATTCGGATCACCATGTGAGTGTGGCAGGTGCACTCACAACGAGTATGTAAGAGAAGGCTAGAGAGCCTCCCCCAGTGCCCAAGTGGATGGCATGGCAGACGGGATCCACGTGTAGACCGTCACTCGATCAAGGACGTGCTCATGCCTGCAGACTCACAGCAGCGGACACGCTGCTGCTTCTGTGGCACTCTGTGGCCTCGTGCAGCCCTCTCACTCATTCTGCCTTTCCGTGTGTTTGTGTGTGTGCGTGGGTGCATGTTATCCCCACACCACACCACGTCCGCAGAAGCATCAAGAACGTCCTCAGGCTCGCAGCAGGAGACTCAAAAGCAGGAGACACTCCAGTGGTGATGTGCCACGCTGTGGCACCCCTCTCACTGCGTCCGTATGCCTCTCTACCCACGTCTGCAGAAGCACGTGAACATCACTCGGTTCATCAAGGACGTCCTCAGGCTCACAGCAGGGGACACGCTGGTGGTGAAGATGGATATAGAGGGCAAGGAGTGGGACGTGCTGCCGGGTGAGTGTCCCTCTGTGCTGGCTGTGCGTGTCCCTCTGTGCTGGCTGTGCGTGTCCCTCTGTGCTGGCTGTGCGTGTCCCTCTGTGCTGGCTGTGCGTGTCCCTCTGTGCTGGCTGTGCGTGTCCTTCCATGCTCGCATTCAGTGTCGCCAGTAGCCTGACTACCTTCATGGAGTGCATGGTTCGGCTCACAGCAGGAGACACGCTGGTGGGGAAGATGGGCGTAGAGGGTGAGTGGGACGTGCTACCGGGTTGAGTGTCCTTGTTCCCTCCCCAAACCTCACAGATTGGCTGCAAGTCCCGGAAATGCTGCAGATGGTGGATGAGATATTCGAGGACGTGCATTACTTGCACCCCTCCGTGCGCGCTGATGACACACGTGACCCCCTTCCTGACTGCTTTGAGGCGCCTAAAAACAGTGATGTTTTGAGACATCAAAAGGGGGTCATGCGTGTCATCTCAGAGCATCACTTTTATCACGCGCTGATGACACACGTGACCCCCTTCCTGATTGCCTCATCCCCCACCGACCAACATCCATCGGATCGGTTGAATGACCCCACCGACCAACATCCATCGGATCGGTTGAATGACCCCACCGACCAACATCCATCGGATCGGTTGAATGACCCCACCGACCAACATCCATCGGATCGGTTGAATGACCCCACCGACCAACATCCATCGGATCGGTTGAATGACCCCACCGACCAACATCCATCGGATCGGTTGAATGACCCCACCGACCAACATCCATCGGATCGGTTGAATGACCCCACCGACCAACATCCATCGGATCGGTTGAATGACCCCACCGACCAACATCCATCGGATCGGTTGAATGACCCCACCGACCAACATCCATCGGATCGGTTGAATGACCCCACCGACCAACATCCATCGGATCGGTTGAATGACCCCACCGACCAACATCCATCGGATCGGTTGAATGACCCCACCGACCAACATCCATCGGATCGGTTGAATGACCCCACCGACCAACATCCATCGGATCGGTTGAATGACCCCACCGACCAACATCCATCGGATCGGTTGAATGACCCCACCGACCAACATCCATCGGATCGGTTGAATGACCCCACCGACCAACATCCATCGGATCGGTTGAATGACCCCACCGACCAACATCCATCGGATCGGTTGAATGACCCGGAAATGGCAGCGATAGTGGACGAGATATTCATGGAGGTGCATTACTCGCACCCCTCCATGCTGGGCTGTCATGTTCCCTCATGACTTCATACATGTTATACCCTCTAGTCTCTTTACAATCAACCCGCCATCAGATTGGCTGCAAGACCCGGACATGCCATGAATGGGGTACAAGGTGACTTCTGAGGCATTCATTGCTTAATACATCTTCGGGTCCCTCTACATTCAACCCCTCACAGATTGGCCACAACATCCGGAAATGCCAGCAGTAGAGGACGACACATCCGTGGAGGTGCACTGCTCACATCCCTCCGTGCCCGCTCATCCCTCTTGCAACTCCCTGTGCTGCCTTATCCCATCCCCTCCACCCGTCATCAGACTGGCTGCAAGACCCCAAGATGCCACAAATAGTGGATGAGAGATTCGTGGAGGTGCATTACTCGCACCCCTCCGTGCTGGGCTGTCAGGTTGCCTCAAAGCCTCATACATGTGAAGCCTTCTCCCCACACCCCCAACCTCACAGACTGGCTGCGAGATCCCGAAATGCCACAGATAGTGGACGAGATATTTGTGGAGGTGCATTACTCGCACCCCTCTGTGTTGGGCTTCGGCTGGCGCCCCTTCAACCACACGAGGGAGCAGGCAACACAACTGCTGGTGGATTTGAGGGCCAAGGGTTTCTTCATACACCCCTGGCCCTAGCTGGCACTGCAGTTCTGAATCACCTGTGCTGCTGCTGCTGCTGCTGCTGCTGCTGCTGCTGATGCTGCTGCTGCTGCTGCCGCCGACTCTGTGCTGGGCTTTGGCTGGCGCCCTGTCAACCACACAAGGGAGGGGGCGACACAGCCGTTGGTGGGTCTGCGAGCCAAGGGCCTGGCCGTAGCTTTGACTGTTTCCATGGCTTTAACTCGTGTTCAACCTCAACAGAGAGAAGGCAACGCAGCTGCTGGTGGATCTGCGAGCCAAGGGCTTCTGCTCGCACCCCTGGCCTTTGACGGCTTCGATTCAGATGCCAGAGGGCTGGTTGTAACTTGTAGGGCTTTAAGTTATGGTGCACCACAAGAGGGGAGGCACCGGATTCGCTGGTGGGTATTAGAGGAAAGAGTTGCTGTGCGCATCCCTGGCCTGAGATGGCTCTATGGTCCTGGGATGTGCTCCTAGTTGGATTATGGTGTGTGTCCGCCTACTGTAATTACGGGCAAGCAGGGTGTGGTGCGGCGTGGCAGTTGGTTTAGCTCAGTTATGTATGTTCCGAGAAAAGATTGTTGCGCTCTATTAGTATATCGTGGCTATGGCATAGATTTATTGCGGACCCATTGGTACCACAATTCAAAACGTGCTCAAGAGCCTGTATACATGCCTTTTTGTGTGGTTCAATGTAATTATTAGATATTAACTTCCTGATACCGTACTGTACAATTGAATGAAGGAAATCTACTGGCTTTTGAGATTTCTTTGCTACATACGCTCTTCTTCAAGGTAAAGTCTTTGGTGCGGGATTATTATAGTTGGATAAGAAAACATTTTTGTACTGGAGTGTTCCAGTCACGGCTTTGCTAAGCAGGATGAGCTTCCTCAAACGAAGCGTGCCGTTTATTGTTCATGCATGACCCAGGCAGTTGAGGAGCGGTTCGAAGTGGGGAAGTGAACAGACCGCTGTAGAGTGCACTATATCGTACTCAGCCGCCTTTGAAGACCTGTAAAACACACAACGCGTGACCTGCTCTCTAAATGACCGTTGGGGAAGTTAGCGTATCCGAGTACAGTGCACACTGCACACCAGCGTGGCTTGAATGAGCGAATACGCAAGATGGAAGACGTAACGCGAGCCCTATTTGCTGTGTTGTCTCAGCGCATCGTCTCGTCGTCGGTCCGTTTTGCCCGGGACGTAATTGCGAGCCCTTGTCGCTGTTTCGTTGCCAGCAGCGGATGTCCCGACGGAGCGCCAATGCTACTAATCATGGCGGAAGGGATGGCGGCGCAGCCTCCGCCGGCGCGGCTTCCGCCGACGGGCTTGGCGGAGGAGAGGCGCGCGGCGTTTGCGGCGGCGGCGGCGGCGGAGGTGAAGGAGGCGGCTTGCGCGCGGAGCAGCTGCAGCGCGCCGATATGGCGGTGGTCGGCGCGCCGGCTGCCGCGATCATGCTGCCACGTGTCGCTTATAAGGCGGTCCACGTGGCGGAGTTCGAGAAGCAGTGCCAGGCGCTAGTGCAGGTGGGAAGACGGATGATCTAGTTAGAGGTTGATCCGAGCAAGAAACAGTAGACGCTTTCTTGTAGATAAGTGTTCGAGGTTAATTCAGTGTACCCGGAACATCAGACGGATTTAGTTCGAGAGATAGTTCGATAAAGAGCACTCTCCTAACGCGTACGGCTTGGCGGAGATGAGTTCGAGCAAATCTGACGTGCGAATTCCGCGTGAATCACGCGTGAATCCTATAGCCACCCCCCTCCCTCCCTTTTCCCTCCTCCCCTCCCCCTCCTCCTCCACTCGTCTATCATTTCAGGACCTCCGCATTGCGTTGGACGTATGTGAGGCGGTGGAAGGAGCACAGCTAGCAGAAAGAGACATCAGGTGAACATTCAGGTGAATCTCAACTGATTTCTCAGGTGATTTTTTAGGTGAATTCTCAGATGATTTTTCAGGTGGCGCCTCAAGTGATTATGCAGGTGGGTGGTCGTTTCGTGCTTTCCGTTCCGGGGGTAAGTTGCTTCAGTCATTTAGAACAAGCTCATTTCACCTTTCCCCCCTCCCTCTCCATTGTCCTGCGCTGCTAAAGTGCGTTCCCCCACTTCCGCCCTTCTCTCTCTCTCTCCCTCGCAGCGTGCACGACCTCATCATCCCCTCTATGGAAGAGCTTGTGGCTGCCACCGTGCCTACCCTCTCTCCTCCCCCCCTTCCCCTTCACTCTTTCCGCCCGCCTATCCCCACCCTCCCTCCCTCTCTCTCTCCCTCGCAGCGTGCACGACCTCATCATCCCCTCCATGGAAGAGCTCGTGGCCGCCACTGTGCCTTACCTCTGCTGTTGGTCCTCTCTCCCCGTGCCAATGTCTTGCGCTGCTAAAGTGCGTTCCCCCAATTCCGCCCTTCCCTCTCTCTCTCCCCCTCGCAGCGTGCATGATCTCATCATCCCCTCCATGGAAGAGCTCGTGGCTGCAATCTGCTGCGCATCATCAATTCCAACCACTCTCCTCCCCTCTCTCCTCCCTCTCTATCCCTATCCCTCTCCCCCTCGCAGCGTGCATGATCTCATCATCCCTTCTATGGAAGAGCTCGTGGCCGCCACTGTGCCTTACCTCTGGTCGCCCAAGCAGTCAACGCAGTCAGCTAAGTCAGGAGCAAGGTCAACGCAGCCAGGAAGGTCAACGCAGCCGGGAAGGTCAAGACAGTCCAAACAGTCAAGTGGGAAGGCTGCAGAGCCACCGGCGCACAACAAGGGCAAGGAGAGTGGAGCTGGCAGGGCACGCATGCAGAGAGCTGAGGTAGCGCACGCGGGCGAGGAGGGGATGGAGGGGATGGAGGGGATGGAGGGGATGGAGGGGATGGAGGGGATGGAGGGGGGGATGGAGGGGATGGAGGGGGGGATGGAGGGGATGGAGGGGGGGATGGAGGGGGGGATGGAGGAAGAGGGGATGGAGGGGGGGATGGAGGGGGGGATGGAGGGGGGGATGGAGAGGGGGATAGAGGAAGAGGGGATGGAGGTAGAGGAGGAGGGGAGGGAAGAAGGGAGGGAGGAGGGAGTGTGTCAGCGAGAGGGTGTTACTGGAGCAGAGGAGGAAAGGGATGAAGGAGTGGTGGAAAGGGATGAAGGGGCGGTGGAAGGGGGAGAAAGAGAGGATATGAGGGGGGTGGGAGGCGAGGGAAGGATGGTAAGAGAAGTGGAGCAGGATGGTGGGAGGGATGTGGAAAGGGGGAGGGGAGATGGAGGGAGGGAGAGGGAGGAGGGGGGTGAGGCAGTGAGGGAAGCAGGCAGGGAGCAGCAAGAGAGAGGAAAGGAAGGGTACGTGGGGATTGAAAAAGGGGAAGAGATTGAGAAAGGGGAAGAGATTGAGAAAGGGGAAGAGATTGAGAAAGGGGAAGAGATTGAGAAAGGGGAAGAGATTGAGAAAGGGGAAGAGATTGAGAAAGAGAGAGAAAAGCAGAATGGGGAGAGCGAGAAGGAGAATGAGAAGGAGGGTGAGAAGGAGGGCGAGAAGGAGGGTGAGAAGGAGAATGGGGAGAGTGAGAAGGAGGATGAGAAAGAGAAGGAGAGTGAGAGGGAGAATGAGAGGAGGGCTCTGGAGCTGTACGGAATGGCAGCGAGGGCGTTTGGCATTCCCTTCCCGTCCCTCTCCCACACCGCCTCCACCCACTCCCTCCAACAGCAGCACCCGATGGCAAACCGAATGCAAAGGCCCGGTGCTTACTCCCTGGCGCCACCCCGTGTCCCCTCCCATGCTCCACCCAACGTCCCACCCATGCCCTTCAATGCTGGCCCACACCCCCCCCCTCCGTGGGTGCTGTATCCCCACCTGTGGCCGCCCCCTCTTCCTCCTCCCTCTCATGCCGCCTCTAACCCGCCTTCTCGCCCCCCTCACCCTCCTCCTCAATCCCCATCTCACCCCCCTCCTGCAGCACCTTCATCCTCCGCCCATCCCTTTCCCCCATACCTCTTCCCCATGCCCTTTCCTCCCTTTGCGCCCTTTACTGCCTCCCTTCCCTTTCCTCCACCACCCTTGTCTCGTCCCCCCCTTGCTGCTGCCACTGCTGCCACCACCACCACTGGTGCTGCTGCTGCAGCTGATGCCGCTAATTCTGCTGCTGCCGCTACAGCTGCTGCTGATGTTGCTGCAGCTGACGCTGGTAGTAACGTTGCTGCCACTGCTTCCGCCACAGCTGCTGCTTCTGGTGATGCTACTGCTGCTACAGCCAAACCTGATGCGGTGGTTGTTGCTGCTTCACCTGATGCTGCTGCCACTACCACGGATGCTGCTGCAATGTCTGAATGTGCTGCCACAGCTGCCACAGCTGCCACAGCTGAATCTACAGATAAATCTGCCACTACAGCTGATGCTGCTGGTGCTACAGCTGGTGCTGCTGATGCTATGGGTAATGCTACAGCTGACGTGGATGCTACAGCTGACGTGGATGCTACAGCTGACGTGGATGCTACAGCTGACGTGGATGCTGACAATCAAGCCCTTGTTCTTCGAACCGTGGACACTGAAGCTACAGCTGGTGATGCCGCTGCTCTCGCTCATACAGACACTGGCTCTAGACATGCGAAGCCCATGCATACTGTGCGGCGTGTGGAAGCAGAGAGAGCTGAAGTTGGCGAATGTGTGAGGGCCGCTGAAGCCGGGGATGCAGAGAGTCTGGCTCTCACACCTGCATCCCATGATGGCGCTGCTTCTGAAGCACATGACAACGTGCACATGGTGATGGTAACACAAGGCGGGGTGGATGCTCCTGGGTCGGAGAGAGCAGATGGTGTGGTTGATGTTCCGGTGTCAGCCACAGCAGACGCACACACCCATGCCTCCCCGTTCATGTCGCCTCTTCCTTCCCCGCCTCCCTTCCCCTCCTCGCCGCTCTCCCTGCCTTGTCTCTCTCTTGACACTCGCCTCTCGGAGGGGACGTGTGAGGGAGAGGAAGGAGGAGGAGGAGGGGGAGGAGGGATGCTGGGATGGGAAGAGGAGGATAGATGGGAGGGGGGAGGAGGGGGGGGTGATCAAGGGATGGTTGAGGGGGGAGGAGAGTGCTGTGAGGGGGTTGGGATGGGTGAGACACGGTTGATTGAGTGGAATCAGGAAGATGCAGCAGCAGAAGCGGCGGATAATTACTCACCTCCTCCCTCACTCTCTCTCATCCCCGCGCCTACTCCACCCTCCCTCCCCATACAACCTCCCTCCCCTCCGTACCCCCACCCTCCCTCTCTACTTCCCCACCTTTCTCTCTCTCCCTCCCCTCCCCGGCCCCACCCTCCCTCTCTCCCTCCGCGCCCCTCTCTCCCGCCTCCCTCTAGCAGGGTGCCAGGGTGCCCCTCTCTCCCGCCCCAACCATTCCCCTGGCACCCTGCTATGCCTCCCTGGCACCATCCACCCTTCCCATCCGGTCAACCCCCATACAGCCCCACGTTCCTCCCTCCTCCCAACATGACACCTGCTGACTTCCACAAGTTGATGCAGCGCCAGATAATGCCTCCCCTTGGCTGGGGACAGATACCACCTGCTCTGGGATCGGGTCAGATACCACCTCCCCCTGGCTGGGGACAGGGTTGGGGATGGTGGGGAGGTGCAGGCAGGGGCAGGGGCGGGGAGGAGGGAGAGGACGGCCGAGAGGGAGTGAGGGGGGAGAGGAAGAGACAAAGGAGAGTCAGCTTCTGGGATGGGGGCGTTGCGAGGGGAGGTGGGGGGATGTGGGGGGAGGGAGGAGGGGTTGCAGTGGATGGGGGGATGGGGAATGGCGGGAGGAGGATGGACGGGCGGATGGGTGGACGGGTGCTGAAGGGGGAGGAAGAAGTGGAAAAGGTGAGTTACTGTTCGAGAGTTGGGTAGGGGAGCAGTGGAGCGGGGGAGAGTTACAGTTGGTAATGAGAACTGCCGGAACTTGTGAGGGACAAGACGGATGTGCGTGTGGGTGGGTGGATCCGTCTACTCTACCTGCAGGACCCGCGTCTGCTGCACTCTCGCCTCGCCTCACACTGGACTGCCGCGTACGCATCGCTCATGCCTGCAGGCGCGGACGCCTGACTTCTCTTCCTTTTCGCTGCCTCCCTTCCCCCCGCTACTTGCCCTCTCTCCTCTCTTCGTCTGCCCCTCTCCTGTGCTCCTTCCTGCACTATTGATCCGCCTGTCGCAACTCTCTCTTTCCCACTTTCCTCCTTCTCTCCTCTCTGCACTCCCATGCAGGACCCTCGCCTCCTGCGCTCTCGCCTCACAGTGGACTGGCTTGTGCTCGTTGCCGAGACTCGCAGACAGTGCATGGCCTCCGCCCCGCTGCACTCCCTGCGGTAGGGTTAACCCTCCCTCTAGAAGCCTGTTACTATATGTATACATGTTTATATGTATGTACATATATATACATATATTTTTGTTCTTTTGCTGGTGACGTTTTTACCTGTTGGCACTCTGGAAATCCGAGCTGCCTTTCCCTTGTGGTGTGTGCAGGGACCTGCAGGAGGGTGTGGGGGAGGAGGAGGAGGAAAGGGGCAGCAGCGATCCAGGGACTGGCGGCAGGTGGGAGAATCAGGAGGAGGAGGACGAGGAGGACGATTGGGAGGATATTCAAGAGCGAAGGGATGGAGGACAGAGGAGAGGGGGGAGAGGCAGTGGTAGGGGAGTGGAGGGGAGAGGCGGAAGAGGAAGCAGAGGAGGGAGAGGGGGAAGCAGGGCGATGCGAGGAAGAGGGGGGAGCAGCAGGGGGAGAGGGCGAGGCGGAGGGAGGGGAGGGGCGAAGAGGCCGTTAGAGGCTCTTGCCCGCGCCAACCTTCCCAATCTCATCTTTGCCAAGATATCTGTGCGTGCGCCTTCTGTGCGCCTTCTGTGCGCCTGCGATGTGCCTTTGCATACCTCCTTACCCCTTTCCTTGTGTCTCTCCTCTGTCCACTCCACCTCGTTGCTTCTTCTCGTTGCTTCTTCTCGTTGCTTCTTCTCGTTGCTTCTCCTCGTTGCTTCTCCTCGTTGCTTCTCCTTGTTGCTTCTCCTTGTGCCTCTGTGCCGTTGCCCCCCTCCCCCTCCACAACATCCCAACCACCGTTCCCCAGGGCCTTCAAGTCCACCTCTTCCCGCGCCTCCCCCCAGTTTCAGCCCCTGTTGCTGCAATCTCTCCCAACAGCGCCTTTGCTTTACACCCCAAGCCTTTCCTCCTTCCTCCCATTCCCCCCTCTCATCTCTGCCCCTCATCTCTCCCCTCTCTTCTGTACTCTTACCCTCTCTACTCTCTCACCAACCCCCCTCTACTCCCTTCCAGGGCGCCTTTGCCTTTACCCCAAGGCCCTTCCGAGCGCTGCAGCCACCACAGGAGGTGGCGCTGCGGGTGGAGGTGCCACAAGGAACGGATTGCCTGCTCTGTTTTCCTCTCAACCTCTACACACCATACCATACCCCTTTCTCCCGCGCCTGATCTCTCCCAGGGCGCCCTTATCTTCACCCCAAGCCCCTTCAGAGCGCTGCAGGCACAGCAGGAGGTGGTGCTGCGATGCGAGTGGAGGTGCTTCAAGGGGTTGCCTTCCTTAAAGCCCTCGCACACCCCCTGCTCCCTTCCACTCACCACCCCCTCCACATACAATCTATTTCCTTCAGGGCGCCTTTGCCTTCACCCCAGGGCCCTTCAGAGCGCTGCAGGCACAGCAGGAGGTGGTGCTGCGATGCGAGTGGAGGTGCTTCAAGGGGTTGCCTTCCTTAAAGCCCTCGCACACCCCCTGCTCCCTTCCACTCACCACCCCCTCCACATACAATCTATTTCCTTCAGGGCGCCTTTGCCTTCACCCCAGGGCCCTTCAGAGCGCTGCAGGCACAGCAGGAGGTGGTGCTGCGATGCGAGTGGAGGTGCTTCAAGGGACGGCTTGCCTTACCTGCGCTTATGCCCACTTTCCCCCTCTACTTCCCGTGTCACAAGGTCCGGGTTGCCTGCCCTGATGCCCCCTCTCTCCCTTTGCCCCCACCTCTACTCCCCCTCCCACCCTTTTTGGCTTTCCCCTTCAGGGCGCCTTTGCATTCACCCCAGGGCTTTCCAGAGTGCTGCAGCCACAGCAGGAGGTGGTGCTGCGGGTGGAAGTTTTACAACAGGAGAAGCGGCAGCTTAAAGTGAGTATTGAAACGGCTTGTAGAGGGGAAAGATTCCTGTTGAGTGAGTCATGAAATGGCATTGCAACGGTAGCAGGCACAGCAGGAGGTGGTGATGCGGGGTGTTTTTGAGAATTCTCAAAATCACCCAGCAGGCACAGCATGAGGTGGTGATGCGGGTGGAAGTGTTGCAGCAGGAGAAGTGGCAGCTGAAAGTGAGTTGGCAGTGCAGTGATTCAGCAGGTGGAGTGACAGCTCGGAATGATTACCGAAGTGGCTTGTAATGAGGATGGTAGCTTAAGGTGAGTGTCAAGTTCATCACATCTCGTAATGATCTTAGCTTGTGACATGTGCCCTGTAGCGAAGGCGGCTTATAGTGAGTTCAAGCAAGGCAGGTGAATGTGTCGAGCAGGTGGGACGCAGGTGAAGGTGTCGAGCAGGTGGGACGCAGGTGAAGATGAGAGGGAAGGCATGAGTGACTTGATAAGAGCGAGTGCAAGGCAACACGCACAACTCACAGGACTCAGGGGGCGCATGTACTGCCTGCAGGGGGCGCATGTAGGGATGAGCATAGGGACCCGGCGGGTCGGGTCGACCCGACCCGACCCGGGTTTTGACCCGGGTCGGGTCAGGAGTTCTGAACCACTGACCCGGCCGGGTCGGGTCGGGTATACCCGGCCGGGTCGGGTCGACCCGTGACCCGATTCCGGGTCGGGTCGGGTCGGGTCGGGTTTTGACCCGATTATGGACTCGACCCGGTTTCGGGTACCGCGCCCTATCTCGGGTTGGGTATCTGGCCCGACCCGAGGGTTTCCTCTCGACAATGTTATCCAGATCGCAATCGCGCTTGCTTGTTTTCCCAGCAACTAGCATTTCGATCTGGATTAAGTTAGGTTAACTAGCTAGTGACGCCAGCAGCCACCCACCAAGCAACATTGGCGTACTAATCTACCCTAGAACCCACGATAATGTTTAGTTAGTACTCAGCCAATCGCACTTCGCACTTCGCGCCATCCATCCTAGGGTTTCTTTTAAATCCGAAATTTACAGGTCGCGCTCCCACCCTAGGCGCGCGCATTGCAGGCCCGCGTTTTAGGGCATCTCGGCGCGCCGTGCAGGCGCAGGTCGCTAGACCCGCGCCCCTACACATTATTAAGGAGAACCTCTAACCCTGCCTATGGGAGTCGGCCCGACCCGACCCGACCCGGCCCCGACCCGACCCGACCCGGGGGCGGGTCAAGCCTGACCCGGCACCCGATACCCGGGTCGGGCCAGAGATCTCAAAAGTTCCGACCCGACCCGACCCGACCCGGAACCCGGCTGGCCCGCCAAAGTCGGGTCGGGTCGGGTCGGGTCGGGTCATTTGATCATACCTAGGCGCATGTACTGCCTGCAGGGGGCGCATGTACTGCCTGCAGGGGGCGCATGTACTGCCTGCAGGGGGCGCATGTACTGCCTGCAGGGCAGGGCAGCACTACGAGGGCGAGGGAGCCAAGCACCCCCTTCCCCCATTCCATCCCGTCCTTTTACTTGACGGTCAGCAGTAGTTTCCGGCGCTGGGGAGTCAGTCCCTCACTCACTTGCGGCTCCAAGGGATAGCATCTACTCTGCCCTGAATCACGCGAGGGGCTCACAGATTCGCAAGGGAGGAGGGAGTCAAAGTCACAGATTCACAGATTCACCCCCTTCCCCTCCCTCCCCTGTTGTTGCAGGGACAGGAGTTTCTGGTGCTGGAAAGCCAGCCTCTCACGGCCCTGAGGGACCGCATATATCCTCCCTGAGGGAGTCAAACTCCCCGTTCCCCCCCTCACTTTCCGTGCCCGTTCTTCCATCTCAGGGACAGGAGTTTCTGGTTCTGGGTAGTCAGCCCCTGGCGGCTTTAAGGGATCGCATATACTGCCTGCAGGACAGGAGCGCGAGGGAGGAGGGAGTCACATGCTTGTTTGCCCACTTCCCCTTCATCACCTGTCACTCCAGGGTCAGGAGTTCCTAGTGCTGGGAAGCCAGCCGCTCACAGCCTTGAGGGACCGCATATTCTTTCTGCAGGACAGGATCGCGAGGGAGGGGGTAGTCACACTCCTGTTCTCTTCCCGTGCCTGTTCTGGCTTCCCCTCCCTTACTTTCCATCTCAGGGGCAAGAGTTCCTAGTGCTGGGCAGCCAGCCGCTCACAGCCTTGAGGGACCGCATCTACTGCCTCCAGGACAGGATCGCGAGGGAGCATGGCAAGTCGGTGCCGTCTGGGAGCTTCTGTATCGAGGTGAGGGTGAATGGGGCGGAGATAGGAGGTCCTCGGGATGCTTGTGCATTGAGGCGAGGGCGATGAGGGGGGAGATGGATAGAGGGTCATTGGAAGATGCAATTGGAAGATGCAATTGGAAGATGCAATTGGAAGATGCAATTGGAAGATGCGATTGGAAGATGCAATTGGAAGATGCGATTGGAAGATGCAATTGGAAGATGCAATTGGAAGATGCAATTGGAAGATGCAATTGGAAGATGCAATTGGAAGATGCGATTGGAAGATGCAATTGGAAGATGCAATTGGAAGATGCGATTGGAAGATGCAACTGGAAGATGCAATTGGAAGATGTCATTGAGGTGGGGGTGAGGGGAGTGCAGGGATGGGATTGCAAGGGAGGATGGCAAGGCGGTGCTGTTTGGCAAGGCGGAGCTGTTTGAGGAGAGTGATGGGAGGGAGATAGGAGATCTTTGAAAAGGGGGGAGAGTGAAGGGGGAAGTGCGGGGACAGGATCGCGAGGGAACACGGCACGTCGGTGCCATCTGGGTGCTTCTGCATTGAAGTGAGGGTGAAAAAGGGGAAGGAAGGAGGTGAGGGTGAAAAGGGGGAAGGAAGGAGGTGAGGGTGAAAAAGGGGAAGGAAGGAGGTGAGGGTGAAAAAGGGGAAGGAAGGAGGTGAGGGTGAAAAAGGGGAAGGAAGGAGGTGAGGGTGTGGGGGGAAGGAAGGAGGTGAGAGTGAGGTGGGGGGGAGGGAAGAGGTGGTGATTGAGGCAATGCTTTTCCCCACCCCAGCTCACAATCTGCACTGTAGCTTCCTTGGGAGCTGCTTTGAGAACCTATAAAAAAACTATCACCGTACCTTGGGCAAGTGACATGTCGCCTATCACTGTACCTTGGGCAAGTGACATGTCGCTTATCACTGTACCTTGGGCAAGTGACATGTCGCCTATCACTATACCTTGGGCAAGTGACATGTCGCCTATCACTGTACCTTGGGCAAGTGACATGTCGCCTATCACTGTACCTTGGGCAAGTGACATGTCGCCTATCACTGTACCTTGGGCAAGTGACATGTCGCCTATCACTGTACCTTGGGCAAGTGACATGTCGCCTATCACTGTACCTTGGGCAAGTGACATGTCGCCTATTACTGTACCTTGGGCAAGTGACATGTCGCCTATCACTGTACCTTGGGCAAGTGACATGTCGCCTATCACTGTACCTTGGGCAAGTGACATGTCGCTTATCACTGTACCTTGGGCAAGTGACATGTCGCCTATCACTGTACCTTGGGCAAGTGACCTGTCGCCTATCACTGTACCTTGGGCAAGTGACATGTCGCCTATCACTGTACCTTGGGCAAGTGACGTGTCGCCTATCACTGTACCTTGGGCAAGTGACATGTCGCCTATCTATTGTCGTCCTGGGTGAGGGCAAGTAACAGAAACATTTATCGTGCAATTGTATTACCAGATAGGTCAGATTACCTGGAACAGCCGATGCAAGAAACCACAAAAGCCTTTTTTTAGAGTTTGCATGTTAGTCGTGCAGCTTTTCTAGTCGGGCCGCCCCTGCATGCCTCCATTCCCCGTGCCATGCCACCTCATCACCACATGCCTCTGACTCGTCTCAAACCACCAAAAGAACTGTCGGTCTTCTCCCCTTCTCGTCTCATGCTTCTCCTCCCCTCATGTGCTCCTCTTTCCCTCTCACACACCCCTCCCCCTCCCCAGGACGTTTTCTATGATGACATGCGGCAGCCCAGTGCAGTGCGGTACAGTGCGGTGATCGTCAAGTGGAACAGGGAGAAGCGGGCGGCATGGTCAATGCTGGACGAGAGGGAGCGCCGCCGCCACACCCCCCTCGCCCGCCTGCCCCTGCCCGCGCCCGTGCGCGGCATGGCACTGGGTGGCATAGGATCAATGGGACCAATGGGATCAATGGGAACCAGCCACACGTTTCAAGAGGATGGGGACCGTTTTGGTCAGCAGCAGCATGAGCATCAGCAGTACCACCAGGTGCATCACCATCAGCAGCAGCAGAGGGTGCGGCTGAGTCTAGGGGACGCCCCTCCCCCGGAGTACTCGTCTGCACGAATGGAAACGACCCGGTTCAGAGACCTCACTGTGCGGCCAGGGGCTCTTTATGTGTACATGCACCAGGTGAGTTACCATGTTATCATGTTACATGCACCAGGTGAGTTACCATGTTATCATGTTACATGCACCAGGTGGGTGTTACTGCGTTACATGCACCATTAGTCTGCTACTATGTTACATGCAACAGGTATGCGTTCCTGTGTTACATGCAACAGGGGTTCGTTACTGTGTTACATGCACCAGGTGTGTGTTACTGTGTTACCATGTCACACGGTTCAGAGACCTGAGTGTGCGGCCAGGAGCGCTCTACGTGTACATGCACTGGTTGGATTGCCTGCAGCAAGTGGGTTACATGCAGCCCATGTGTTTGTTAAATGCATCAGGTGAGTAACACGCAGCACAAGTGTGTGTTGTATGCACCGGGGGCGTTACATCCACCGCGCGTGTTACCATATTACAGTCTCACCACGTGTGTCTCATGCAAAAGGTGGCTGGCCCTTTTCTGCATCCCCCCTTCTTCCATTCCCACTTCTCCCTCAGCTTCAACCTCCAACACATGGTGTCTTCATCGTACTCCTCTTTCTCACCCTTATCCTTCAATTCATTCCCATTCGCTCTGCTTTGCTCCCGCATTGTCCCTTACTCCCACCAGGGTGCATGCAAGCATGCCTTTCGCATCACTGACATTCGCCTGCTGCACCCTCTGGACGCCCTCAACGCCTCCGAATACCCCCTTCTCTCGCACGAGCCACGCTGCTACCTGCGCCGCTGCAGTGTGTGCGATGTGAACGCAAGCACACGAGTGGTGTACCATGATAAATTGCTCGCTGTTGACCCGTCCTTTCTGTGTGAGCAGTGTTACCACCTGTTACATTATGATGAGGAGGGCAATCTGTTGTATAGTGATTTCCAGGTGTACAATTACTATCATGAATAAACAGTACTGTACGGCCTATCTCTTGTGTTTCCTTCTACGTTGGGATATTTCGCATCAACGAAGGGTTGAGATAGAGGGGGTTGGAGCTGTTGGAAACAATTGATTTAAGCGCCCCTGTCGTGTCGAAACACCAAGTCAGAAGCGAAGCACAACATATCGAAGCATCAGCGAGTCAACCCTCGGAGGTTGAGCAACTGCTGGAGGTTACGCGAAAGTCAAAGGTCAGCGACCTTTGACCTGACAAGTACAGCGCGACAGCAAGGACAAACAACTGACTCGCTATTGAGCAGTTGCCCGAGTCGTCACTGTATCGAACCGCAACAGCAACAGCAAAACAGTTATTAGTTATAACTCTTCATATTCCCTTGTACTCTTATAAAAGCTTGTATCTCTTTATTATTAATCAATCTACTTTGCCCTCGCATACTAGCGCAAGGTGGTTCACAACTCTTCATTAAACGCTTCCGCTATTACATCAGTCCCAGGGCCTCAGATTCGTTTTTGGCTTGGCTGATACGCCAGCCTGAGCAGCCAACGTTAAGCTGATCAATCAGAGTTGGTTGTAAAAAAAAAACTGAAAGTTCAGACAAGTATAAAAAAAAAAACGCTGACTAATCAGCCTCACTTAATACACTCTGGCTGATCCATGTTGAGCATTTTTTTCATTAAATTTAGCAGGCATAACAGGGAAACACTACACCACATACATGACATTAGCTAGCTGCTCATTTCATCTTCATCACTAGAACTACCTCCTGCATCTCCTACTGGCTCCTCCTCATCATCTACATCTACTGGCTCCTCCTCATCATCTACATCTACTGGCTCCTCCTCGTGCTTGCCCTTCTTGTTCTCGCCTGGGATTGGGGTGCGAATGGGAGCATTGCTGAAAGGCTTGCGCTTTCTGTAACTCCGCCAGATCTCAACTACCTCATCGTAGTTGGGCTTGTACTGCATGAGGGATAGACACATGAGGTCCCCCAGCCTCGCGTCCTTGATCCCCCCTCTCCGCCATGTCTTGATCACGTTTTGCCGAGTGAATCCCCTTTCGCACTCCACAGTGCTGAGGGGAATCACAGCCACCGCCACCCAGAGCTGCACCAGATTGGGGTAGCTCTCCCGCCAGTCTGGCGTCTTGAGGATCGCCGATAGTCCGCTGTGGAAGCCCCTCTCTTCCTTGGGGGCACGTGCAAGGACTGAACAGAAGAGGCGAAGCTCCTTGCCTGCCTGCCTCTTGTTGATGCCTGGTGGGAGGGAGGGAGGGTTAAGATGAGGCACATGACATGAGCAAACAGGTGCACCACAAAGGATTTTCAAGCATGGATACGATATCAAAGGTTCACAAAGGCGCCACAACAGACCTGGCAAGATGTCCTCACGGTCCTGAGCCTTGAACATCGTCACCAGCGACTGAAGCCACTCCAGGCAACGAGCGTTCCGCTCAGACTTGCTTTGTGGCCATGCATCTGGTGTGAACAGGCGGACTCCAGAGAGGGAGTCGAGATCACCGAGCCTTCCCTCCAGGTTCGCCACGATCCTCTCTGCGAACTCGGTGCACAACTGGATGCACCCGTCGTGGTCCTCCGGGCCGCTGTACGAGTCCACGGGCTCGTCGTGAAGGGTGAACGTGATAGAAGATGGTCGGCCGTCACTGTCGACACCTTCCACCTTCACTTCGCGGCTACACCCCGGGCCATGGCGCAGCAGGAAAGGTGACAGCCACTGGCTCATGCCGCCGCCGAAGTCATCGCCGCAGTCCACGTAGCGGCTCTCGATGTGACGCGTTGTCCGCTTGATCTGCGCATGCAAAGACACCAGATCGAGCTGGACAGACAGAGGCACACAGTGACACAGTTAGAAGGGTTAATGTGGGGACATGCGTAGCTATATTCGCACCACCTCACCTGTTTCTACTGGAAGGTCTTGTTCAAAATGTTGAGCTGCTCAAGCACATCAGCCAGGAAGTAAAGGAAGAAGTGAAAACGGTAGGAGCTTGCCAGTTTGTACATCTTGCTGTTAAGCTCCTTCAGCAGCACAATCACTGCCGGCAAAACAGCGACAAGGCGACGAACGGCATCCCCCCTTGACAACCACCGGACGGAATGGATGCCTTGCACTTCAAGGCTCGTTTCGGTGATGACTTCCTGCAGGTCCATGAACCGTGCGTGGCGCGGTCCCGACCGACCAAGCAAATCCGCCACTGCCCGGATGAGATCGTCGACCATGTCGAAGACGGGGAGCTCCTCTGCTGCATCCTTCGCTGCAAGTGCCTCCCTGCAAGTACAACATCAAACTCAAGACGTTAAACACGAGCTCGAACCACATGGCGTAACGGGTTGGAAACGTAGCAGCAGAGCTCACTTACCTGTGAGCGATGCAGTGAACGGAGACAAGGTGCGGAATCTTCTGTCGCAGGCGGACAACCAGGCCGGCCTTAGACCCCATCATCACTCTTGCGCCGTCGGTGCTAATGCCAGAAATTCTCTGTAGATCGACACCGACGGACTGCAAGTGGGAAAGCAGGATGCTCAGAAGTGAAGAAGCGTCCGCCTTTTCCACCGTGATCAGCTGCATGAACTCGGTCACGAGCACGTTGTCGCGGATGAACGAGGCATACAAGATCATGTGCTTCCCCCAGAGTCGATCCGTGCTTTCATCGATGCAGATGCCGATGAAAGGGCTTGTCAGGATGTGCTCCAGCTGAGTTGTCTGTAGCCAGGTAGCAAGGGCCTGCGTGAGCTCACCGAAGCCGTACCTACACGCAGGGAAACCAAAGACAAGAGATTAGAAGAGGGTTTAGGGTTGAACATCAAAACATCAACGCAATACAAATGTGGCTACTATTCACGTTGTGTAGTAGGTGCCATATCCCTTCTTAGGGTAGCCCTGGACACCCTTACGCGCGAGGTACTGCACCAGCTTCACCCATGTTCCCATTGGCGCATCGCAGGAACTGACGAACAGCATGGAGTCGAGCAACGCCACGACGCGGTTCTTCTCAGCATCGATGGCGGCTCGATGTTGGTCGATCCGTGGCTGCTTTGAGGCCGCGTTCAGCAGAGCCTCTTGCTTCTCCATCGCCAGCCTGTGTTTCGTCGTGCCTGCGTGCTTGCGAAACGCCTGCGTCTGCACGTCGGTCGCCCCTCGCCCTGTCCGGCCACATCGCCCCCTGACTCCGGCACTGCACTTAAAAGCAGGGAAACCAGATTTAGATTTGGTTAGCACAAGCCACGGGAACCTCTCAGACCACTTGGTTTTGTACTTCAAAAGAGCGTCTGCATAGACTGCCTCGATGGCCTCTGAAATGTCTATGACCAAGGATGGAAGAGGGGCTGTGTTGTTCGCGACAGGTTGCTCGACGGCGGTGCTCGAAGAAGGTTTTGCCCAGCTCAGCGTCGACTGCTTGAGCTTGAAGTTGCGCGGGCCAGTGGACTTTGTTGTTGGCGAGTCGAGAACCACCGTGTCGGAGACGGCAGCCGGCGCAGCAGGCTCACCCCGGATGGAATCCGAGCTTGAAGAAACCGGTGGGTGGTCGCGGTGCACCCTCTCGACTAGTGCTGGCTTTGCAGTAGGAAGCCTGGGAGCGAGGACACCAGGGGCAAGCGAGCGCAGGAGCATATCAAGCCCCGTCCTGGCTTCCTCTAGGCCGTCTAATTCATCATCGCTGCCTGCATCATCATCGCAACCTACGCCTTCTGCAAGGCCGGCCATGGCTGAAAGGGGAGAGCGTGCCGAGCTCCAACGTTGCTAGCTAGGGTTTGAGAAAACCAGGGCGAGAGGCGTGGATTGACAGTGCAGCTCGCCTAGGGGGTGGGTACGGTGGGGTCATCAAGAGAGAGCCATAAAAGAAGGCCCTCTCATTCTCACCACCCATCAGCTACGCGGCGCGACGAGGGGGCACCATGCACGCACTTAGATGCAGGTTCGGGGTGGGTGAGATGGGGTGAGGTGGGTGTCCTTGTCGTGAGTGCGTGCGGTGCGTTCCTGTGCTGCACTGGTGGCGGGTGATTGGCGCATAAGGGATGTGATTGGTTTACCAACGAATCACATCTATTTAAGCATTCTGTCGGTGACAACGAAGCAAACGACGAGTCGGAAATTCGTTTTCCCCCCGCGTCGGCGCTGTACATGGCAATTTTTGCGTGATTGACGGTCGATGAACCTGGACAGCCGAAACTCACGGCTCCTGCACGAATCTGTAATAGCGTGAATTCAGCCTACACTCTCGTTACAAGTCTGATAAATCAGCGAACACTTGTAAAAAAACGCTGGATAATCAGCCAAAACTTTAAAAAAAAACCTGAACAATCAGCCAACACATTAAAAAAAAAACTGAACTTTCAGCCAGCACATCGCCCACATGTCTGTGAAATCAGCGTCCAGACCCTAAATCAGCCTTTTTTCGCTGACATCTGAGGGCCTGATCAGTCCTACCAGGAGATTAGTTCTGCAAAGATCCTAAGGGCTTTCTCAGCCCAACATGGTATGAGAGCTGTCAGGACAAATTCCACTATCAAGACACCCACAACATCAGAAAGCATGGCTACTCAGAAGGAAAGGAGTTCCTCTAATGGCTCTCCCGGCACTACCCCTACTCCACCTCCTGCCTCTGGCCTACAGACAGAGCAGGGCACGGCGACAAGACCAGCAGCAGGGTCCACTGAAACTCCTGCGAATAAACCTGCAGACTTTGACCAGAACATGATGGAGAAGTTCTTCTCCTTCATGTCCTTCTACGAGCAACACCAGCAGTCGGCACCTGCGCAGTCAAACATCAGCAACAACAACAACGACGTGACGCCCATGAGCCTCGACGGCTCATCCTACGCACGCGGAAATCAACAGCAGCAGCCTACCTTTGCTCTGTACGAGCCCCAGCGCGGCTCCGTCAGCTTTATGCCACAACCACAGCCTGCACCTGGACAAGAGAAGATACTGGACGCACTTCAAGTTCAGTCGCAGTTCGCGCACGTCTTAAAATTGCAAACGTCAAAGCCTTTCGACGGGAAGGACTTCTTTACCTGGTCGTTCGAATTCGAACTAATGATGGAAGGCGCGCAGATTCTTGGCTTCTTCGACGGGTCCCTGCCATACCCAACACACGGCACACAGTACGACAAGCAGCAGTACGCGTATCAGTCAATGATGGCGTACACAATACTACTGAGAAACATCACTCCAAATCAGCAGCAGAATATACGGTCTTACCGGGGATACGGCAACTCTGCAGAGCTCGCGTACAACCACCTGAAGAACCTGTATCAAGCAACAGACAGCGTCAATCAAAGTCGGTTAATGACGCAACTGACAACAGTCGAAATGAAACCAGGCGAAAAGGGGATGGCGTATATCAGCCGCTGTCGCGAATTGCGCGACAAACTCCTTCGATGCGGAGGGTCGATTTCAGAAGACGCCTTCATCACAGTCATCATCGGCGGCCTCGGTCCTCAGTGGCGCTCCACTCGCGCCATACTCCAAGCTCACGGAAAAATATCAGAAGCAGCACTCTGCGCCGAGATCCACGCTGAACAGCAAGATATGGACCTGCAAGAAGAACGACACAAGAGGAAGGCATCAGGGCCCGAATTTGCATTCCACACTCAACGGCGCTACAACAACAACAACAATCGGCATCAACCGAAACCAGTACCTCCGTTCTGTCACCTTTGTAAGACGTCAGGTCACCCCCGTACACACTGCCCAAACCGGCAGCAGTCAACGCCAACGCAGCGGCCCCTTCGCCCTTCGAGCAGTCAAGTCGCCTCAACGCAAGCGAACCCGACCACTCAAGTACAAGCCTCAACAACATCGACGGGACAACCTGCGCAAGGAACAAGAAACATCGTCAGTTGCATGACACGGCTGACCGACTCCTGCATCACAGAGTCACCACCGCATTACTCACCGGAAGAGCAACTCGACAACAGCATGCCTCGCCGCGAGTCATTTCAACCAAATCCGACGTATGCAGCCATCGCTCAAAGCGAGCCGTCTGGGAAAGATACGTGGTTCTTGGACAGCTGCTGCGGACAGCACATGTGCTCTTCAGGACGCTTTGTTCAACGCGAACACCAACTTCAACGCGAGGTCGTCATCAACGTCGCCAACAATCAGAACCTGCGCACACGACGACAAGGCGTAGTGCAACTTCAGTCACGAGAGACAAACGTCATACTGCAAATGTCAAAGGTTTTAATAGCAGAAGGGCTCGGTTACAACTTACTGAGCGTCAGTCAATTGATGGCGAAGGGCATACACCTCGAAGCAGATAGCACCACTCAGGAGTTCATGTTATGCCACGGGAAGGGCGGTCTCTACATCGGGAAGGCGGTCCTGAAAAAACAACGTCTTCGTCCTCGACTTTGTCCCAGATCTTGGCACCGCTGACAGCGACGGGATTGTCACCTTCACCTCCTGGACACATCCACCGGATCTCGACCCCGACTTCAGTCCAGAAGGCTTCTGGTACTTGCACACCATTCCTGAGGCAGAACGAACAAGAGCATTAGCAACGATTCAACAGTCGGCAGCAGCAGAGACAACATCGGCAGCAGCAGAGACAACATCGGCAGCAGCAGAGACAACATCGGCAGCAGCAGAGACAACATCGGCAGCAGCAGAGACAACACCAGCAGCAGCAGAAACAACATCGGCACCAATCGCGGGTCCTTCAACTACAACGGCTCCAATCGACAACGACACTTCACCAACTCCTGCGCAGCAGCTGAACCCAACTCAACGGGAAGTCCATCGAAGCGCCAACTTCACTGCCAGCTTTTACTCCAACTCCGACATATATCGGCGCTCACCCGGACATCGCGCCACCGAAGACATCTGGCACGCACGAATGGGACATCCAAGTAACACGGTGTTAAACAATACAATCAGAGCAGGCATGCTCGATAAAGACTCGCTGCTCCTAACCGACGGAAGCGAACTTCGACGAGCTCGCGGAACGTGCTTTACCTGCCCCGAAGCTGACTTACCACATCGGCCGTTCGCTTCTCACCACAATCCCAGCGCACCAGCTTACGCACCACTCGAGAAAGTGTACAGCGACATCCTGTACAACCGCGAACCTGGACAAGGAGCATACAGCTACACCATCACGTTCATCGATGCCGCTACGCGTTACGTTTGGCACCTCAACCTACCGAGCAAGGACATGGCCTTTGAGGCCTTCGTCGCTTGGCTCCCAGTAGCAGAACGAGAATCGGGCGTGAAGCTAAAAAGCTTCCAGTCAGACGGAGGAGGAGAATACACCTCACAGAGGTTCAAGCAGTACTTGGCAGAAAGAGGGATCAAGAGGCTCATCTCCCTTCCCTACGCTCACCAGCAGCAAGGTGTAGCAGAAAGGATGAACAGGACTCTCCAGAACACCATGCGCAAACTGCTACGAGGCATGCGACTGCCCAACCACCAGTGGCCCGAAGCAATGGACCACGCTGTCATGCTGCACAACTTGCTCTCGTCATCATCGCTCCCGAACAACGCATCACCACATCTGCTGTGGACAGGAAAACAGGGCAACACAAAAATGTTAAGAGTTTTCGGCTGCATGGTACAGTACCGACCCCCATCTGCACGAGCCGGCCGATTTTCCCAACGCGCACAGTGGGGACTACACCTGGGCATCGAAAGACATTACAACGCGTGGAAAATTTTCGACGTCCACTCCAAGGAAACAGTAGCAGCACGTGATGTCATTTTCTACGAACGACTCACCCTTCCGACGTACCTTGCCAACCTGGAAGAAGATCAGGACCCCACAGGTGGTTTCCGTGGTGACCGAGCCTTCGCCTCGGCAGCAGACGAAGCTGACTGGGACGAGCAGAACGTGGATGCAGCCTCGGAGGAAGCCTGACCTCTCCCTTACTGCTCCGTCGACGTCCCAATGGATGACGAAAATCATCGCGAAAGCGCTTACGCCGAAGTATTTTACCACTTCGCCGACAACGGTTACGTTACACCTGCAGAAGTCAACACCAACGAAGCAGAACGCATAGGGCCCAACTTCATACCTGACCCAGAAGCAGGTGACGAAGCAGCTTATCCCGCGAACACAACACTCCCCCGCTACACACAGAGTGGCCTCCACATACTCGGCCTCGTCACCGCGGTCCACGGCACGGAGGTTCCTAAGGAGCCTGCCACAGTTCAGCAGGCTCTGGGGGGGGAGCATAGGGAAAAATGGCGTGAAGCCATGGACAGGGAACTGAAAGCACTGGAGGAACGCAACACCTGGAAAGTCCTTCCCATCGGCGTGGCACGAAACAAGACAGTACTCACCGGGAAATGGGTCTTCCGTGTGAAGACAAAGGCAGACGGCACCATCGACAAGTTTAAGGCGCGCTGGGTCGTACGCGGCTTCGACCAAGAGCACGGACGCGACTTCACCGAGACATTCGCCCCGGTCAACCGACACACCTCGCTGCGAATTCTCCTCGCGATCGCCGCCATGAAGAAAAAGAAACTGCGACAAATTGATGTCGCCAACGCATTTCTCTACGCACCTGTCGACGCAGAAATCTTCGTCGAACTACCACATGGCTCCAACGGAGAACCTAATCACGTCTGTAAGCTGCTGAAGTCATTGTACGGCATCAAACAGGCCCCGAGACTGTGGCAGCAGTACCTACATGCTCGGCTCATTCGCATTGGATTCCCCCAGCTACCTCACGACCAGGGCATGTATCGGCTCACAAAGGGCACCGACTACATCATACTAATCGTCTACGTGGACGATTCACTCTACATCGGCTCGACCGACAACATCACTACCCGGTTCGAAGGGGAGCTACAGAAGGATCTCATGCTCACGGTCTCGTCCACCGTCACGCAGTACCTCGGCCTCAACATCCAGGAAAAAGAAGGCGCGATCTACCTCAACGCCGCGAAATACGCCGACACCATCGCCAAACGTTTCGCACTCATGCCAACTACCATTTCTACGCCATACCGCTACACGGCAGGAAATCACAAGGAAGGCTCCACTCCACTCAAGCCTGCCGGGATACGCGAATACCAGAGGAAGCTGGGATGCCTTCTCTTCGCAGCTGTCACCTGCCGCCCGGACCTATCATACTTTGCAAGTCAACTCGCCACCTACCTTAAAAGGCCTGAAGCTGAACACATGGCGGAGCTCGACCGCGCTCTTCACTACCTCGTTAGCACGCCAACGATCGGCCTGACCTACTACAAGAACGGAACTACAACGCCTAAATTAATTGGCTACGTCGACGCCGACCACGCCGGCGATTCTGACAACAGGCGCTCGCGCACAGGCTACATCTACCGCCTCGAGCCTATCGGACCTATCTCGTGGCAGTCGAGCAAGCAGGAATTAATCGCTCTCTCCTCAGCTGAAGCAGAATATATCGCACTCTGCTCAGCCACCAAGGAAGGATTGTACCTTCGCGAACTCTTGGAGGAAGCGAAGCTGGCTCAGTTACCCAGCTTCACTCTGTTCTGCGATAACCAGTCGGCAATTCGCATAGCCAACAAAAACGGATTCGCGAATAGGACGAAGCATATCGCCCTGCGATATTTCTTCGTGAAAGATGAGATCGAGAAGGGGAGACTCGAATTATCCTACTGCCCCACGTCCGAGATGGCAGCTGACTACTTGACCAAGAAACTCGGAAAACAGAAGTTCGAGTACTGCATGCTGTTGACTGGACAGAGCCACGTCACTAGCAGCGACACTCCAGAAGCGAAGGGGAGTGTTGGAAACAATTGATTAAAGCGCCCCTGTCGTGTCGAAACACCAAGTCAGAAGCGAAGCACAACATATCGAAGCATCAGCGAGTCAACCCTCGGAGGTTGAGCAACTGCTGGAGGTTACGTGAAATTCAAAGGTCAGCGACATTTGACCTGACAAGTACAGCGCGACAGCAAGGACAAACAACTGACTCGCTATTGAGCAGTTGCCCGAGTCGTCACTGTATCGAACCGCAACAGCAACAGCAAAACAGTTATTAGTTATAACCCTTCATATTCCCTTGTACTCTTATGAAAGCTTGTATCTCTTTGTTTTAATCAATCTACTTTGCCCTCACATACTAGCGCAAGGTGGTTCACAACTCTTCATTAAACGCTTCCGCTATTACATCAGTCCTACTAGGAGTTTAGTCCTGCAAAGATCCTAAGGGCTTTCTCAGCCCAACAGGAGTGTCAATGTTCGAGAAGAGATTGACGTGATGTTTGGGGCGTGTCTGAGCTGGTGAAGTCTGAAATAGTGTGCTGATTGGGCTCAGATGTACTTATTGCCAGATATATGAACCATATGGCTGGATACGAATGTATATACGGGTATTAGTGACACTGCCGGGTGAAAGAGATACTCGATATCGAGTTATATCCAATCTCCCTCTTTTGTGGAGAGTGCTGTATCGGGCGTTTCGATTGTGTGTAATTGTGGTTTGAAATGTCAGGATGTCAGCGAGATAGCCAATCATCAGCAAGCTTACACAGATAACATGTGCGCCATCTGCGCTATTTTTGAAAGTTGCTGTCAGTGGCAACCTTCCACGTGGATTATCACTTTTTAGTTCAGTCAGGTCAAGGAGGCTAATTATGTCGGTGCCGTAAATTCAGGAGGCAAACTCTTGCGACCAGCATCTAGAAACGAGTCTGTCGTTGTGACTGTCGCAAGATGGATTTGACACTTCAGTCGCACAGCTTTGAGTGACACTTTGCATGAAGTATATGCCTAGTTTGTGGCTGTGACTGTCGCATACAGGATTTCAAGCTCTGGTCAACCAGTCGCCGAATGGTGATTTCCACGACGCCGAGAAGTCGCTGCCAGCACCTGCCGTCGCATGACGCCGAAATGACCTCGACCAGCGTCGCTAGCATGACGGACACCAGCCGACGAGTCGCGCCAGATCGCGTGATTAGAGCAATTGTGGACTGCTCTGCAAATTTCGACAACACCTGCCCGGGCGCTGTAAATAACGTACCGCCGCAACCTGTCCTTCCCGCCCCTCCCCCCTCACACCATTTCCGAACCGAGGCGTGACTTGGTGACCTGAAAAACATCAAGAATCTCACAGAGCCGCATTCGAAAAATCTTCGGTGCATACTCCAAGAGACTGCTTGCCAGCATCATCCATTCCCAATCGCTCATCCATATTGCGCTGGCTCCGCACAACGCCTCGATCGGGCCTCCCTCAACTCCCCACTCATTCCCACTCCCACTTCCCCCACCCACATCACAGCCACCAACTTACCAGGCCGAACCTAGACATCCATTCGCCGAGTTACGTAGTTGATCCCCCTCCCCCCTCGAGACGTTTCCCGCCGCCATTACTAATAATCCGACAGCCTCCTCACCCCCCTCACTGAGTTATGATAAGACTGCTTGTGTTCAAAGTCTTCTCACAGTTGTACATCGCTGCTCAATGATTTCTTTATCCGAAATCAGTATACACGTATCCAGCACGATTCGCTTCTGACTGAACGTTTTTCACAAGTGCATATTGAAGCGATTCTTCTCGCTGGGAGCTGTGTCACCGCCAGTTGATTGAATACCAGTTTTTGGCAAACCGTGTTAATATTGAAGTTTTCCTCCTCACAGTTGGTCAAAGAGCTTAATAGCGCAGCTACCAATATGTCCTCGCTAGCGCTAGCGCCCACATTGGGCTGGTCCCAGTCCCTTGTTTCTGGCGACATAGCAGCATGCGATTCGCCGAGCAAGCAGGGATCGCGACCGTCCAGGTTCATCGTACCCGTTCAGGCTTCTCACTCGCCTCTCGCCAGCAACAGTAACGACAGAGTCCGAGAATCCCACCCTGCGACTCAATCCACGTCAGCAAGGCAGACGTCTATAATCGCCACGCCAGACTGGCAGCCCATGATTGCCACTGAAGTAGACCAGCCGCTTTTATCGTCTGCGTCGCGTGTGCAACCAGCTATTCCCCGGCCTCCATCGCGGGGAAACCCCTTAGAGCGACCTCCGTCGCGTGGGAATGTGGCAGAGCGGAAGGTCGTCGCGAAAGACCCGCTGCTGCTGCGAGTGGCTCGAGGCGAAGGTACGCAGACCCCGCCCGTGGTCGAGTCCCGGTACCGAGTCTGTATGATCGCTTCTAGCCGTTGCTCACGTCAGCTGTGTCATTGCCGCATTATTCTCCGTCAGCCCCAGTTGTTAATGACCATCCTTCGTACCTGCCTGCAGTCTGAGTGGCTTTATTTCGTGGCTTTTGTTTTTTTCCTCCCGTTTTGCAGAAGCGGAGCGTACGCCAGTCTGGTTGTTGCGTCAGTCAGGCCGTTACTTGGAAGATTTTCGAAGGTGAGCGTTGTTCTTTGCTCCCACTCTCCGCGTTTCTTTAATATGCAGCCCGTACTCTCTTCACACTGGCCACTGGTAGCTGGTTTCCCTTTCGCGGCGTTATGAGCTGTTCATTCGCAAGTGCTGCTACCTTGGTTCCTGCGTACTGACGTCGATCTCCCTTGTACTTCACCTTTTCTTGACTAATCTTTCTTTCTTTCCATTGTCTCTCCGTGCCTTGTTTTCCGCAGGCTCTCCGAAGGCTATTCATTCAGGGACCGTCTCGAGAACCCCGAGCTGGTAACAGAGCTGTCGCTGCTGCCGTGGCGAAAGTTTGCGACGGACGCGGTGGTGCTGTTTTCGGACGTGCTGGCCGTGCTGCCGGGCGTGGGGCTCGAGTTCGACATGGTGCGGGGAAGAGGCGCCGTCGTGGCTACACCCGTGCGGTCGCGAGAAGACCTCCTGAGGTTAAGGTAGGTTGCGATAGAAAAAAGGTCGTGGTATCGGTCGGGTGGGATAGTTGGTGCTGCCGGGCGTGGGGCTCGAGTTCGACATGGTGCGGGGAAGAGGCGCCGTCGTGGCTACACCCGTGCGGTCGCGAGAAGACCTCCTGAGGTTAAGGTAGGTTGCGATAGAAAAAAGGTCGTGGTATCGGTAGGGTGGGATAGTTGGTGCTGCCGGGCGTGGGGCTCGAGTTCGACATGGTGCGGGGAAGAGGCGCCGTCGTCGCTACACCCGTGCGGTCGTGGGAGGATCTTTTAAGAGTAATGTCGCTGTCGGTGGAGTGAGATACGCCGTTGTACTTCGTTTCTCTAAAACCGCGCCTTAAACGCAACTCACACTCTCCCTTGTCTCTGTCGCTCTCGTCTCGGCAGGCCCTTGGACGATCCCGACTCGCAGCTGCCGTACCTCCGTCCCGTGCTCAACGCTCTCCGGCGTGAAACAGTCGCGGCGGCCGCCGCCGCCTCCACCAGCAGCAGCAGCAGCAGGGATAGCAGCGGGTGCGATAGTAGCGGGGACAGGGACGGCGGGGCAGCGGTGATGGGGTTCGTGGGGGCGCCGTGGAGTGTGGTTGCGCACGCAGTGGAGGGACAGGCAGACCAGAACCTGTTTCTCACCAAGCTGATGATGATGCACGGTGCGTGTTGTGGCCTGTTGTGTATTTAGATTGGCTGTCGTGCCACCTCTCCCATGCCGGCTTTTCTCTCTTCCAATCTCGACCTCTCATACCATTCCACCATTGCACCCCCCTTCGCCTTCTGTCTACCCCGTGCAGACCCCGATCTCCTCCACGACATTCTCGCCTTCTTCGAGGATGCCCTTTTCGCCCTCGCCATCCACCAGATCGACTGCGGCGCACAGGTGATTACGGCTGTGGCTCTGGGCGCGTTGATGTTTTGCTGCGCGTCGCAGTGTTTTCCGACTTCTTTGCTTTTCCTTGTATTCTCATCCCCGTGTTTGACTTGATCGCACACCATCTCTTCGTCCCCCATTCGCCGTACTCTCTCTCCCTCCGCATGATCTCTTCTTGGTCCGACCCTAACTCGTCTCCTCTCCATCCCTCCCTCGTCCCTCATCAGATCATCCAAGTGTTTGACTCGTGGGCGCACCACCTCTCCCCGCCGCAGTTCGCCGCCTTCTCCCTCCCCTACACCAACCGCCTCATCTCCCGCATCCAGTCCGCGCGCCCGCACGCGCCCGTCCTCCTGCAAACCATCGGCAGCACCGGCAAACTCCACCTCATAGCTGAAAACTGCCCGGCGAACATTGTCGGGCTAGACTGGGGTTGTGATATGAGTGAGGCGCGGAGGCTGTTGGGAGAAGGCGTGGTGCTGCAGGGGAACGTTGATCCCATGGCATTGCTGGGACCTAGGGAATACCTGAGGGAAGCTGTAGCGGAGTGTATTAAGCAAGGGGGAGGGTCGCGGCATGTGCTGAATATCGGCCATGGGGTTGTGCAGGATACTCCCGAGGAAGCAGTTGCTCTGTTTTGCCAGCTGGCGAGAGAAGAGAGCGAGAGGTTCCGGGGTGGGAGTGCAGCTGCTGTGCCTGGTTTCCAAGGCAGTTCCGACCCTGCAGGCCGCGGCCAACCCAGTGAGGCGTATGTCCAGAGTGCAGGGAAAGACACTGAGAGAACGGGTCGTGCCCATACCAGTCAGGCTGCTTCAAATGACGCCATTGCTGCTATTCATGCCACATGGAGTGTGGGGGACACGGTGCCTAAAGGTGTGGCTGCTGCTGCAGCCTTCCCGTCTCTCTCATCAGCACTGCTTGCTTCGGCCCGCCACTCGCTATCGTCGCTGTCAAGTCCATCTAGGAGGCGCCGTTATACCAGTGGCTGTTGATTGACCTGCAGCGTTGCAGTGCAATTTTGTTGCAGATACCATTTCTGAATTTGAGTACAGTAGTTCTTTCACTTTCATGTATTATGAGTTCATCACTTTCTCAGGCTTTTTTAATGCTCCACTGAATCCAAGGGTACAGGTTTGAAGCCTGGTACAAAGGTTTGAGTGTGATGGCAGCGAGGTTTGGCATCAGGGAGAATTTGTTGTTATAGGAGTATTTGTGGAAACCTGTGTAGCGAAACAGCAATGTCACTCGCAATAACTTCATTCAGTTTGAACGAATTTCCGAAATATATGATGTGGGGGGCTTCAGATAAATTCAGATAGAACTTGGAGGATACACACGTTGTTGTACACCTAGCCCGCGCCAATTTCACACCCCGTCAGTTTTGGCTTTAAGCCCAATTGGACCTTTTTTGGCTTTGGGGATCAGACACCCAAGGAACTAGAGGCTATCCGTGGCATTGTTAAGTGTCGATGTTGTGAGAGTGTGACTTTGAGACCGCAACGTAAAGACTGGATCTTCCGCTGCAACCATGTTTTTATTTTCCCGCTGACTCTTAAGCGGAGTCTGAATCGTTAATTCCTTAAAACCATATAGTTCGAAACAACCCTCAATTTCCGGAGTGAAGGGGGGTGTTGTCAGAATCCCAACCACTAGACCATTGGGATAAAAGGGCTTGTTAAGTAGCGGGTCAGTGCGCCTATAACCCCCCAGGCCAACGTGCCTGTAACCCTTCCCTAGGATCGATCGGGGATCACCAGTGGACCTCTGACACCCCCCCGCACTGGGATGCCCGAAGTGCACACACCAGGATTCGAACCCGAGACATTCGCTCTGATACCATGTCAGAATCCCAACCACTAGACCATTGGGATAAAAGGGCTTGTTAAGTAGCGGGTCAGTGCGCCCATAACCCCCCAGGCCAACGTGCCTGTAACCCTTCCCTAGGATCGATCGGGGATCACCAGTGGACCTCTGACAGGTGTTACGAATAGTAATACTTGAATATTACTGTGCACTCCTCACCGCAGCAAAGAGAAGCACGCAGTATCACGAATGAACGCGAAGCATCAGACGGTTGGAAACGACTCGAAGCGTCAGACAGTTGGGACGCATCTGAACCGTCGGAGCAGACAGCATCAGGCAGCTGCAGGCAGGATGGTTTCGGCGGGAACAGTTTCGTAACTGTTCGCGCCGCACGGTTGGGAATGTATTTGAATAAGGGAATGTACCCCTTAGAGTACATGGCTAGCTAGGTCGTTTCATCTCCCCTGTACTCATATTTATATTTGCTGTATTTGCATGTTTTATTTCATCTCAAAGCATTTTACACTCACTCTGCTATTGAGGTCAAGGGCCCACCAACATCACTTCTCTGCGTGCGAACCTTCCTGAGTAGATCCTAGGCCACGATCAACTTCTGATCGCAGCATGGTATGAGAGCGACTCAGGAATCCTTCGCACCGCCATCTCCGAAATCTGCGACATTCGGAAAGTGGCGTCCGGCACACGATCACGTGTAAGAATGGCCGGAGGATCTGGAGGTCAGACGAATCTGACGGCTGAAGCGCAGCCCAACCTGGCTGCGACAAACGAGGAAACGACGACGATTCCTTCCGCCGTCCTCGCACAACTGCTTCAGCGACTCACGAGCCTGGAGCAAGGGCTCCAGTCATTGCGGAATGGCGATGCGGGAACTTCTTCCCAACCCACTCAACCGGCCCCAAACGGCCAAAACTCCGCCCCGCAAGGCTTCTCCCTAGATACGAATGGCTCAACCCCCAAGACTCCCTGTCCCAGCGATGAAGCAATTCTCTCCGCGCAATCAAGGTTTTTGAGCATATCAAAAATAAAGACAAGTGTGTGCTTTGACGGCAGCTGGAGCTGCTGCTGCAAAACGCGCAGATTTATCATTATTTCGACGGGAGCTACTCGGCACCTGCTGAGGACACCGACGACGCAAGAACTCGCTGTCAGAGGTCCACTGGTGATCCCCGATTGATCCTAGGGAAGGGTTACAGGCTCGTTGTCCTGGGGGGGTTATGGGCGCACTGACCCGCTACTTAACAAGCCCTTTTATCCCAATGGTCTAGTGGTTGGGATTCTGACATGGTATCAGAGCGAAGGTCTCGGGTTCGAATCCCGGTGTGTGCACTTCGGGCATCCCAGTGCGGGGGGGTGTCAGAGGTCCACTGGTGATCCCCGATTGATCCTAGGGAAGGGTTACAGGCTCGTTGTCCTGGGGGGGTTATGGGCGCACTGACCCGCTACTTAACAAGCCCTTTTATCCCAATGGTCTAGTGGTTGGGATTCTGACACTCGCTATTATAACGAGTCCCTGATGGCGTACGGGATTCTTCTGCGTAACATGTCGCCGGCGGAGCAGCTGAACATTCGTTCATACAAGACATCGGCTGCCCCAACCCTCGACGCTTGGCGCCACCTGAACGGCGTGTATCAGCCCAAGGACTCCGTCTCCTCGAGCCGACTACTCCAGCAACTGCTGGAAACTAAGATTACCTCAGGGGAGAAGGTCAACAGCTACATTAACCGCTGTCGGAGCCTTCGCGATCAAATCGTGAAGTTGGGAAGCTCGTTTTCCGAGGAAATCTTCGTGAACATTGTGCGTCAAGGGCTTGGCCCAGAGTGGCGGCCCTGCAAGGCGCTCCTCCGACAGCAGGGGGTCATCTCGGAGGCCGCCCTTTGCGCCGCCCTTCTCGTCGAACAACGGGATATGGATCAGCAGCGACCAGCGCCACGACGAGAACGTGAACGGCTCGCCTTCTACGCCGACAACAACGAAGAGCGACGACCGCGGCGCCTCTACTGCAAAATCTGCAGAAACTTCGGGCATTTGGCGGATCGATATAAGTTCCGATCTCGCCCTCGCCAGACCAATCCGAGCAACTGGTCCGGCCGACAAGACGCACGAGGCGACATGCGTCCAGCCCAAGGGTATCAACCCCCACCCGCGCGCAATCTGAACTCAACCGTTCAGCATCAGCAGCAGCAGCCATCAACTGCCCCTACGCGCAATGTCATGAGCAACATGGCCATGACAGGCGAATCACGTCGTCGCCGTGTTCGCTCACCCTCACCTGAGCCAGCACCGCACCCCATCGGAGCGTTCACCAACAACAACCCGTTCAACCCGCATCACGACTACAGCGACGACGACAACCAGGACTGGAATCTACCAGTCCCGCTGCTTGAGAGCCCTCCGCACGTACCTGACATGCGGCTGGCACCGATCGAGTGGATCGCGCGCGAACAGTTTCTGAAGGTGGACACTCCACACATCGTCACTCCGCGACTGGCGCTGCTCGCGCGAAACGACAACAGGCGCTACAACAACTGGTACCTGGACAGCTGCTGTGGGCAGCATATGGTGGGCTCCGAGCGTTACATATCCAACGCCGTCCCCACTCCCGTCGTCACTTACGTCACAGTGGCGAACAACACGCGGCTGCGCGCAAGCGCGCAAGGTATCGTGGTGCTCAAGGCACGAGGGAGCCGAACGCACATCACACTTAACGACGTGTTGATTGTGCAGAACCTGCGCTTTAATTTGCTCTCGGCGGCACAACTCCTGGATTGCGGAGTCATCCTCAGCACCGACCCCGAGACGCGCGACATCCTGCTCCACTTCACGATGCCGAACAAGGAGCGCAAGCAGATCGGACGGGCGCGCACCGAGAACGGCGTATACGTTCTCGACTTCGACATTCCCGACTGCAGCGGCGATTCGCAGGAATTGATTGACCTCGTCCCCCTGCGCTTCGAACACATTCATCGCCGCGATTGGAAGCACCCTGATGGGCGCCCCTGGGTGCCACACCACTCACACCCCCGCGAGCTCGCGCTGCACGACCCCGATCCCGACGGCGTCTGCAGGGACTGCCACACACCAACGTCTTCGACGAGCGCGATCGCCGGCCGTGGCCTTGCCGCCATTCGCGAAACAGAGCGAGACGCACCGCCTGAAGAGGGTCTCTCCCAACTGGAGTTGGAAACAGCTACACGGGTCGTATTCGGCACACCGCAACACCCTCTTCCCGGACCCGCATCCCAGCATCTCCAAGGAATGCTCCGCGGCGTTGGCGTCGGCACCTTCGACGCGCACGGGAATCCCTGGCCCTACACCGAACGAAAGGCGGCAGAGATCTACTCTCACCGGCGCGATTCTAAGAAACCGCTCTCGCCCACGGAAGAAGAGACATTGGCACAACAAGAAGCCGAAGAGCTTCGGCGGAAGAGCCTCGCCGAGGCACGCGGAACGCTCGCCTGGGAACAGGACGAGAAAAGCGCCTCCAATGAAGGGGGTGGGGGAGCGCCGGCGGTTGGGGAACGAGCGACACCAGCGGCTGGGGCGTCGCAACCGGCGGATGGGGTGCAGCAACAGGCGCATACATCGGCGGATGGGGCGCCGCACAAGGCGGCGAAACGAGCGGCTGGGGAGCTTTCCGCGAGGATCAAAGGGGGGAAGAGGAAGAAGAACCTGCGCATGCTGAGGTCGAACCTCCCGTTGTTCCTCTCGGACGACCTCCGCGCCGCCCTGCGCTAGGACCACCACCGCCTGACATCCCTTCAGGTAGTGACCCCTGGGACACCATTGACTGGGGAAGTGAACCACTCACCCCGCGACGCACTGTCTACGGACCTGCCCCTGAACCACGCGAACCGGCGTTCGTACTTGGCACGATCCCCGGAACCAACATCCCCTACTCCATCATCCGCGACAGAGAATTTCTCGCCCTCATGCTAACGACGGCGAACGAGGAAGAAGAAGAGAACGAGGGAGCAGCGCCTACACCTGCACCGGTACCTGACGAAGACCCCGCAGCCGCACTGGAGCGCTACATGCGCACATCTGGATTCCGCGCCGACGACGCCATCTGGCATCAACGCCTAGGTCACCCTTCGCGCGTGACCCTGAAGAACTGCATCGAAGCCGGCGTCTTTGCACCTGGCGCGTTGTTGTGCCCTGACGGCTCCG